CCGTGGCCTTGCTTTCTCTGTGCAGCACACGGCAGAACACCAGCCACGTGAATTTAGCTTTTTGTTTCTAAAGAATAGCTTTTGTGACCTGGGTGAACTCTTCCTCCTTCAGGTTTAAAACACCCCAATGCCTTCAGTAAGGGCACGTTGAGACACATTTGCTCAGGCAGGCGGTTTGCGATCACTTCCCTCTGCTTGGAAATCTGTGTGTTTTCTAAGGGGAGCGGACATTTGGGGTTTCTTTCCCAGTTTGTGCTGCTGACACGGGCCTAGCTGAGCCTGTCTCCTCTCTGCACAGGATGGCTCCTGCTTGCCAGAGCTGCACAAAGATAATCGCTCAGGAAGTGTTTCAGCCAATCCCCTGAAGCTTTACATTCAGATTTACCGAAGTAGCCAATCCGGGATTAGCTTTTATTAGGAAGACAGATCATCAAGCTGAAGTGCCAAGCCCTTTCTGCCTGAGTACTGAGAGCCTGTCCTCCATGTTTTATAAGTATTGACATAACACTGTGTTAACAATGCATCCACAGAGGTAAGCCTTACTTTTTACATTTTTTTTTCTCTAAGACCTATGAGTTGTGGGTTGAGAGTGTGATTCTCTGTGATTTGTTGTGCAAAACTCACACCACAGCACTTTATTAAGTTGGAACTGTTTAAATTTGCTTTCTTGGGTCACATGGTTAGTAGCCATTAGCCACAGCTTTATTTTGCAGGCTGGCAAAACCTTGGCATACCTACTTCTTCACAGGAGGATGGTGTTTTTAGAGTTTATCAAGATCCTGGTATTCCAAATAAGCTTTCTGTCTCTGAGCAGTTTGCCAGCACTATTGTCTGTTGTGTCACATGCCTGCTGAAGAGAAAATGGAAGCTAGGGAGCAGATGCATTTAACTGCCCTACAGGGAGTCAAGCAGGGATAATGGCAGACAGAAGAAAAGGCAAGTTTACCTTTCTAAACAGTGAATGGAATAGCTAAGATAAGTTATCTCTGAGAAAATATGGGATTTTTAAAAACCTAGACATCAGCAAAAAGTGCTAATGGCAGATTGTAGATATTGGGCCTAGGTGGTGGTGTGCTGTTGCATCATGTTTTTTATCCAGCTTATCTTAACTTAAAATTATTATTGAACCTTTTTTCTTGCAGGAGTAATTAATACAACGTGTCCCTCCTTCTGAGGGACAATGTATGGTTAATATTTTGTTCCTTTAAAAGGGAGTTTTTATGCTGCAGATTTTGGAAATGGGTTGCTGCTCAATAGAATGCAGTAATACATCTGTTTGCAAATCTGTTTCTTTATGGAAAATGTTTTTGAACTGTTAGCTTTCTTGTTTTACATAGTTCAAATAAACTAATGTATCTTTTATCTGTGCCTTTTTGTTTTACACTGTATCAGCCACAGTTCTGTGTTGTGGAGTCCAGAGGATATAAAATCATGTGTGGTTCATGACAGTGGTACATGTTGTTCGTTCTTGGGTTTTTTTTCCTTTTTTTTTCTTCTTTTTTTTTTTTTTTAACTTTTGGTTTAATGCTACGTAATTATTTCAAGAAATTCCTTTTTGATCAATTTCCAAATCTGCCAGCCTGTTGTATCTTCTTAACTGGAAAAATGAGATGGGTGCTTGAACAGTTGGTAAGTAAGCAGCATGCTACTCTCTGAACATTTTTAATAGTTTTCCAAACATTTTGTTTTTACTGGGTCAGTTAGTCCAGTAGAAGAAATAATGTTAGTGGTTAGTCATATAAAAAATCAGATGTGCTTAGCGTCCATTTTAAGGGACTTGTACATGTAAACTGTTCCAATTTGAATGCACTGTGTTTTTTATAATTTGCCTCTAAAATTTGAAGCTTATACTTCCTATTTACCTCAGGCCAGTGAAAAATACTTTACTTGCTGTTTGTTCATAGATCATTAATTACCATGTTTGTAGGGTAAAGCGCATTTTCGTTGTTCCTTAGGCTTCTGAGGTGTGATGAAAGTGCTAGTACTCAGCAATGGAGTGACCTTATGAAGTAAAGTAAATAATGTTTAATGAGCATATGTTATTGATACTATACAAAGTATAACCTCAGACAAACTTGCTTGATTTATAACTAATTTACAACATTTTGTGCCCTTTATTAAGATTTCAAGTGTAGCACTTGCATGCAGGATTTAACAAGCTGTTTTTCAGTGATCACCAGTATTTTACAAAAGCAGAGGAAGTATGTGCTTTTCTGCTTTTAATGCAATTTTTGCAGTAGTTTTAGCAGTCCACACGTATTCATGGTTTTAGGGAAGAACTTGGAGCTAAGTTAGCTTTGCAAATGACTGCACGGAAGCACAGTTACCTGCTAGCTTTTATAGGAGATTGTCGTGTATTTGATAACGTTCTGTAGCATGGCAATTTACCTTTGGTTATTTGTTTACCGATATGAGTGCCTTACTTTGAATATCTCACTTTGCTTAACAGCTTCCCCCCCCAACCCCCCTCAAGGATTGGATTATAAGAATGTCTAGTTCAGTTTGCAACCTGAAACACTGCTGGGCTGTACCACTGAGTTTCATGTGATAGCATTTTTGTATGCAATTTTAATGCATTTTTCAGCATAGATGAAAGTGCTAACACAGCCAAGAAGTTATTCTCATTTTTGTTCTTCTGTTGCTAAAATCAGAAATTACATTTGGACATAATTTTCCTAGTAGTAAGCAGTTTATATACATTAGCAGTTTACTTTCAGTCTTAAATAGTGCACAACATAATATTTGTTTAATATGAGGAAGCAGGAGCAAGTGATCTGCAATCAGAAAGCTTGTATTAAAATGGCTCCCACAGGTTTTGTTAAACTAGGATCTGTTTCAAATCTGCACCTCCAGACACGCTGCTGACAGTGAAGCATATTTGTATAAGCTGCCCTCGCGCATGTAATGAAACATAGCATCGTGAGTCTGTTAAAGTTCACTATTTTTAATCACTCAAATATAATTCTTTTATAGTTCACAAAAAATAAATGTCTGCATTGCAGCAAGATGTCTGAGGCAAGGTAGAGACAGCAGTGTTGTTTTACAGATCAGCCCAATCGCGCTGCTCCATGGAGTACTTGAGCCAATAGAAGCAGAGGGTAGGTTAAAGATTGACAATTGCAGTGGCAAGACTGAGAAAGGCCTTCTGGAAATTTCTACCATCTTTGTTCCATCTAAGTAAAGCAAATTCAGCCAAGCTGAAGAATTTCATATGTTTTTGGTGCTTTGTCAAGGTATGATGTTATCACTCACTTTTGTAGATTGCATAATAAGAAGCACTCTGTGCCGTTTTTTTTCTACTGTTCAGGACAGATGGAATGTGGGGGTTTGTTTAAGTGATAGACGCGGGGAAAAAGCACGGATTCTTTCTACCCAAGATTTTACAGGACTGGATCTTGTTAATATCACAAATAGACAGGACATGTATGAAACAATGTAGCTGAAGTTTATTCAGCTTGTAGCAAAATGGCCATTATTCTAATGTAACTAGCAGTTAATCGTATAATTGCACTTTAAGTTTTCTGGCTACTAAAGAGTAATTTGAATTGCCCAGGATGAATATGATTAGCCATTATTATTTAGTGCCAACATCCAGTTACTTTTGTAATTAGCTGGACAAAGAATGCAGTGGGGGAAAAACAAAGGACTGAGCTGGATTATAAATTATGATGAAAACAGTAGCTTTTTAAAAGCTACATGCCTCTTTCATTCTTTGCAGGCAAACTGTTTTAGTTGGAAGCTAAATAGTGCTAGGGAAAAACTGAGTGATTTCTTTAAACAAATTACTCTACTTAATATACTGAGAATGAAAAAAAAAATGCAGAGTATAAACCAGTCAAAATGTGACATTTCCCCCCACACTGCAGGCAGGAGTATTGAAATGTAGGGGAAAACCTACCTTGCTACTAAGGAAGCATGTAATAAAAGGAACTTCATACTCAAAAATCATGAATAGGTAGATCACATTACAAATTTTGCCCTTTATATCAGTGTCCACAAGCTTTGACTGGCTCACCTCCCCGAGCTGTCTTCCATTTTGCGGTATCACTTTTGCTTGTTTGTTTGTTTGTTTTTCCTTTTTGCTTTATTTTCAAGTGTATTGGCCAGGTTGGATCCAGTAGCTGAAACATGATAGGTCATGGTCAGTTTTCCATAGTAATGGTGCCACTCCAGCATAATTGGTTAAAGGGTGATAAATCTCAGTAAAAACTCTCCTCTTCTCTGTTTGGAATTCAGGGTATTCATTTGAATCTCCTAAATATCTTGGAAGTTGAGCATAACCCTTGCCCACGTAGAATGTAGTAGACGGCAATTTTCAAATGTTGTTATTTGTGGATCCCTAATATTTTTCCCATGGGCACATGAATCCCATTATAGTGAATTTAAGCCTGTTAGACTAGGTTTGATTTACTTAGTTATTGTCTGCAAACCCCTTTGTGGTAGTACACTGGCTTTGAGGGGTCTGCAAACCAGAGACTCAAACCCGACATAGTAGGCCATCAAGCTTGGCCCTTTAAATTGTATTTAGGAAGTATTTTAAATATATTTATTAATAAGCATGTCTTGTATTCATGGGTTAAATTCTAATGTAGAAGGAGCAGCAGCCTAGGAATTGAGTTTTATTTATTTGATAGGAGTTGTCTGTCATTCTTTTGTTAACCCTTTATTGCCAGTTATCATAGCATCTGTGCTTCACACTGTGAGTTTAAAACTATGCTGTAGCAAAATGTTAACATTCTTAATTCAGCCAGTACAAACCTTTACTTTTCAAACATCATTGTTCTCAAATTATGTTTTTAGCATCTGAAATCTATAACTATTCTGGTTGCCTTGCTTGGGCCTCATCTCTATAGTCTTAAAGAAGACAGTATGACACCAAGGATCTCCTTCCCTCCCCTGATTTTCTCTTTTGTGGAGCTATTTTGAATAGGAATAAGGTTTTAAAAAGAATCTAAATGTTATTTAAATTAAACATATATATATATATATATATTTACTTTTCTTGCTATCAGATGTAATTAGCTTAAACATTGCTGTATGTAGATATTTGAACAAGCATTTAATGTATGTTAATTGCTTAACACAAATTGAGCATTTTGCAGGGAATTCTGTAAAAGGAGACATAAAATATGAGGCACAAACTGGAGGGTGAGTTTAAAATGGAATGATTTCCTTAGTAACCTGTGACTTCACAAAACTCCCTATCTTGTGCCTTTTTAGTTAAACATTTGGATGTCAGGTGTCCTTTTGTCACACTTCACCATTTTTGATATTTAGATGCTTGCTTCGAATATAGCACTGCTGTTTAAACAAGAGATACTGTTATTGAATAAACTGCTACCATTTTAGCTACAGTACAGGAATGAGGCAGTGCAGTGCTGTCAGACGCCATTTTAAGAATCCTGCATAAATAGCATAGCTACCGATGAGTAAGAGACTGTTATAGGTGAGTGCTTATACAAAGCTGCTATTTATTCAGCAATGGCATGCAAATATTTTTTCAATTTTTTATTTAATGCATTTTTTTTGAAGTCATTATTTAGAATTGCTGCTCACAGATGTGATATAGGAGAGGCAGGAATTATCTTAAGGATGAAATTCAGGTTTAGTGCTTATAGTCTTAAATCAGGGGTTTTTTTTGTTTGTTTTCTATTAATTAAAAGGAAAAATGAATTCCATGAATACATAGTTCTTGATTTTAAATTAATGTGTTTATTCCCTAATGTAGATCTAGATTTTATATGTGGGCATTAGCTGTTTTGAGTGGTTTTCCATATCTGTCAGTTTTTCTTGGTTAAATGTCAAGGTGCAGTAGTTCATCTGCAACTTTTAATTGCTCTTTGTAGTTATTATATGTTAGAGAAGCTTGAAATAGTTCTGTATATGTACTTTTTTTCAGGTAAGTACTACTACTGTTACAGGAATGATTTTTCTAAACAGAAAAGTCAGCATTTTATTTACTGGTCTGAAATTTAAAAAACTGAATTTCATATTAAAAAACCCACCCTCTCTTCAGTTTTATGGAGAACATATTTAAAAATTAGGCAGCTAAGTTCTTTTGCATTTTTACCTAAGTATCAAAAAATCTTGTATGTTTGCAATCCTTATTTTTTTTTTTCCCTGTCCCCAACTATCCCCAAAGGAATAACCTCCACACGTCCTCCTCTCATTCAGACATGTTAAAGTAATTGGTATGAAACAAATTAGTTTAACATTTTAGAAAACAATTTTTTCTTTTTTTTTTTTTGTAAGTTTTGTCAATATGAGTAGGGAAGTTTTAAATGATTAATTGGTGTTCTAGTCAATTGACAATGAAACTGGCAAAGCTTAAATTTCAGCTGTGTTCTTAAAATATGTTCCTCTATGTTCATTCATCTTAATGAGGAAACAAGAGTAACTTTCAGAATGACACAAGGTATTTATTGTATTTATCTAGGTACTTGATTGAGTATATATCAGTATAATTTCTGATCTGCAACCTCAGAGCATCACATTCATAGTACACAGGCATGATAGTAATACATGCTATCTGAAAAAACAGCTCTAAGCCCTGCAAAAATTAATTCTCAAAATAAAACTCTCTAGAATACTCTACTTGATCGCACAGTTATTGTTTCCATGGAACTAGATGCTTGTTTATAATTATTTTTTATTTTCCTGCTGGTTTTAATTTTCTTTTTATGTTGCTGTGAGTAATAGTAAGGTACCTGTTACTAAGGACTTGTTTTTCTTGAATTATTTAATTTTAAATCTTTTGCTAATGAAATGTCTGCATTTGGAAGTTTGTACTTTCTGGAGTATTTTCAGAATATTGCTTATATTGATGGAAGGTGCAAAGGTGAAAAGATCTGTCAGCTTCAGAAAAGTTACTGTAAACTTGCTGTGAATTGCTAGCATCTATTTACAAACTTGAGTCTTGAAGATTAGCACTACAATCATCACTGCCACCATTCAAACAATGTCATGTTGTGCAAGTCAGCAAATAAAACAATGGGAGATGCTTCTGAAGAGCTGTGAATTTTAAGTATCTTTTATAGCTATGTCTAATATGCTTATTTAACTGTTCTCCCCAACATTTTGATTTTTTTTTTTTTCAGAGCAATCTCAGTGATTTTCTTACATACTTAAATGTTTGTTCCCTTAAAAGATTGAGTGAGACTAATTATAGTAGAGAATATGGAGATGCAATCTGTTCCTGTAAGGTTTAGTTTCTATAGTATAGTAGATAATTGCTGCATTTTATTTTAGTTGTGGGTGACGCACAGTGCACGTGTGTGTATAGGATATATGCACCTCCAGTGCTAAGAAAAATGAAGAACCTTTGAATGCATTTTTGACTGTTCATTTATAGTTCTAATCTTTGGGAAAGCTGTCTTCAGGCATCTTCTGTGTGATGTATCAGAGATGTGTCAAGTCAAGATACTTTGTTCATCTTGGAACTGCTTATGAAGAATGTTTTTCTTGTCTCTATAGATCTATTGAAAGAACACTTGGAAAGGTGGTGGAGGAAACTGGTTGAATTTCCTAAATTAAACTCATTAGATGGGGAGAGACAGATTTAGAGCTGAAGAAACCTCATATGCTGTGACTAATACAGAGGAGTCCTGATAACACCTGTAACACCCCTGCAGTGCTGGGCTTGGGCCCGCAGGTGCAGAGCACCTTCAGTCTGCTCTGTAACTTCTCCTGCCCCTTTGGTCAGGGAAGGAGGAGCAGTTCCTGCTACCGTGTTGCTCTATTGATCTGTCACACCCATGTCTCAACTCTGTGGCTTTTAATACTGACTTGTAGCAACTACTGTATCTTTCAGGTATCATGTTCCCATGAGGTTGTGATTTGAACAAAAGGGCACCTGGTGGATTTGGATGAGTCTGGAATGTTGTGATTGCTTTAATGTAACTTAAATGTGAGCACTGCTCCAAGGATATTACTCTTTTACCCCTTTCCCCACATGTGGTGCACTCCCATTTCCTCTCTTCTGCACATCCAGCTGCACAGTGAGCTAGATCATAGATCCGATTCAGTTGAAATGTATGTGATTTCTGGAACATGAGGTTAAGGAATGGAGAAACCATTCCTTTTAGCAGCAACCTGTGTAAAATGATCTCAGGAGTTCAACCTGAGTCTCGTGAAGACTTGTATGTCCTAGTCTGTGGCTGAAACTGGATCTATGTTTTAAAACCAGGTGATGTGTACTGCAAAATTACTTTACTCTTGACAGAATTAGTGTGTTATTTCATGTTTACCTGTGTGCATTATTAATCATATATACATGATGTTTTAAAAATATGTTTTTTATTACAGTTTGGTGATATTGAAATAGGATTTTATAAGGGGGGAGGGGAAGAAAAAAAGCCAGTGCAACATGGGAAGAGAACAATGAACCCATCCCGTGAGGCCATCCCTTCCCATTGCCTAGGGAAGAGAACGGGCAGAGGCAAGTTGTGCATGAAATGTTTTGGTGTCTGCAACACACTGCCAGCTTCCCTTTGCTGGAGGCCCTCTGGGAAAGTGTGTAACGAATGTGCAGTATAATTGATCTGCCCATGCAGAGTAAATCGGTGAGCACTGTAGTATGGTCAGCTATGTTTTGCATTTAATCTGCCCATGCAAAATAAATCTGAGAATCATTGTGCTACAGTCAACTGTGCTACACATTTACCATAATGCTGCTCACAGGGCTGCCCTTTGCTCACTACTGAAATTAACACATTAGTCCACAAGCTGGAATGGGTGGAGTAGAACTTCTCTTCAGTGTTTAATGTCTTTAAAGAGCTTAATTTGTGAATTATTGCTTTATACAAATGACAAGTAAAGAAAAACTATTTCTGGAGTTCACAGATCTTCTCAGCTTTGGGTCTTCCATACATTGAGCTTTGTTAATTTGTATTTAAAATTTTTGTTGATGTGATTGTCCTGTTTAGATGTGTGAAAAGAATTGCAACCCAGCCCCCCAGTATCTGATAGCAGCTGTTTCACCTTATACCAGTAACAAAACTCCTGCTAATATAAACTGTTTGTCAGGCTGAAGAGTTTCTCTAATACAAATTTAACCAAGTCCTCGGTGTTGTTTCTGAGCTCTGATTAGCTGTCTCAAGCAGATTTAACCACAGGGGCTAAAGCAAAGGTCTCTAGCTGTCCTCTTGGCCTCTGTGGAAGAAATAGCTGTCCCTAGAGCTGGGATGGCTGAGTGGAATCTCAGTCTACTCCATAGCAGCAGGAGTTCACAGTCTGCCATATATATCAGTGTAAACTGGCACCAGCAACAACTTACATCAGCAGACGAGACAGTAAATTGCTACGACAGAGGAGTAGTGCATTCCCCTTGGCTGTTGTGCTCTGGTGGTATTAACGGACAACTGTGATACTTGCTTCAAGTGCATAACCTCACTTGTCTATTATTTTGAATTTGGGCTTGCTTCAATATATATTTTCTTTTATCTTTAATCTATGATAGTCAGATCTCCAAAGCTGTCGTGTAACTCAATATTCATTTTAGTTCTTTTTTTTTTTTTCTCTCCCTTCCACCTTCCTTCCCCAAACTGACTTAACTAGCCAAATTCATTGAGTTATTTTCTTGAAAGGAGAATACCAGCAAATCAGATATAGTTTGTCATCTACTTAATCATTTAATCCTGCCTGGAGTAAACTAAAACTGTCCATGTAAGATTGAATGGTTGAATAATAGTAACAAATCTGTTTTTTCTTTATTATAATTGGTAATTGGTAGAATTGTATTTCCAATAAATTATAAATATTCAGTTTTCTGTTACATAGTCTAGTTTCAAAATCCTTATTTATTTATTTAATAGTTTTAAAAATTGCATTTTACCTTCTAATTTTGCAAGCTGTTCTGTGTTGCTAAATCTGTTACCCTAGCTAATCTGTTCACTGATGCTGGTGAGTGTTTAAATGTTAGCAGGCATCTGTCTGCACAGTTTACAGAGGCCTTAGATTAGGATCTACAAGGAACAGAATTCCTGTTTGTCTGTCACAAAAAGCAAACCTTTCATTTCATCAGAAATTTTAATGTAGTTGTATTTGGCAGTTTTATGTTGAACTTTTATACATGAAGTTAGACATGGGAATAATACAGTCTCTAGCTATTCTAATTCATCTTTTTGAATCCTGCAGCTTGGCTGAAGAGGAAATAAAGGCAGAGCAGGAGGTGGTGGAGGGGATGGATATCTCCACTCGATCCAAAGGTGAGTAAGAAGGAATATTTCATCTGTGTTCTACAACATGCGAATATTTGTAAACCAGGATAGTGAAACTGTGATCTACCATGAAGCTGCTCTTTAGTGAAGACAGAAGACTAATTTTATTTTTTGCAATTACATGTTAGGAAGTGCTTTATTTTTTGCTTAATTTTCATTATAAGTCAAACCTCCGCCCTGCTTATGAATAACTAACTTAGGTTAAACTATGAAAAAACATCAGTGTCTTGTATCATCTCACTTATCATGGCTTCTTTTAAAGTACTTTTAGATTTGTAATGCAGGATAAAATAGTAGTAGTAGTAATAGTAATAATAAGGTAGTATTTCCCACAGTAATGAATATTAATTTTCCTAAGAATAAAGAACAACAGTAACATTTCTGATTCCACAAAAATTAGTCCCCTGAGCAGTATGTATTTCATGGACATTTATATATCCATTCCTGACATGAATTAAACTTGGTGGTAGAATTGCAGGTGACTGAGAATTTCTTTCCTTCTGGTTTCTGGAGTTTTCCCTATGGATGAGTTACTACAGGCAAATGATGATCTCTCTTGGTATAAAGAAACCCAAACACGTAACCATCTATATTGGTCTCAATATTTCCACTGTCATCTGGAGTCGGGGGACAGAAATGCCCTTCAATCAGAATACTTGCACATAACTGTTTATTCCAGTTCATTGTAACTGACTGCCAGCTGCCAATCCATCTCCTTTTGTACTTGCAGCTGACTTTGCAGCTCAGTTGAAAGGCATTTCTGTAAAATGGCAGCAATGGTGACTACCATCCTTTTTAAATTCTGGCACATACCCTCTTACTCTTCACATTTCTGCTACGGAGTTCTTAAGTGTAGTTAATTCTGAATGTGCAGATGTAATAGTCTTGAAGATGTGCCACAGATCATCTGCATTCCTTTGTTTTCTAATGAGGTAGCTTGGCTAGGTAGCATCATTATAAAATTGCATTTAGGCCTTTTTTGTACTAACAGACAGTAAATTTCTTGTTTCAGTTCTCATGGTATGGTTAGATGAGGTAAAACATATGATCTGATAGCTCAGAAGAAATTCACTTGCTCCTTTTTTTTTCTTCTCCCTGTCCTTTTCTCCTTTCTCTGCTTCTGGTCTTGCATGTCAGTCTCCATCACTGGACTGCTTTTGATGTTTATTTATCTCTGTATTTCAGTTTTCTAAGCCAGCAGAAAACAAACTACTTTTTGTTGCTTTAATGGTTGCTGCTGAATGGGGTAAGCTCCCAGCACTGCACTCTCAATACTTACTTAGTGGTGCTTGTCAGATCCCAGCCACTTGAACTTTCTAACCAACTTAAAACTGGAAACATTTTTCTGCTGTTGTAGTGACCAGTTTGTTTGTGAAAGAGTTTAGTGAGTATGAAAACTCGATATAAGAGACAATGGGGGTTATTAGCTGCATTTAGCTACCCATCTCACCTTCTTTTCTCCTTGGAAAGACTTTCACCCACATATTAGTACTAATAAGAATTTCACATGCATCAAGAAAACCAAACTATTACTTATGTCACTTCGACATAATCAGTGTCTAAAAGTCGTAAGTCTGATACCTGTTTATGTAGATGTCTGTATTTTAGTTCTGTTGCTTTACTTGGCCAAGAAACAGGTGTATGGTCCATACAAAAAGCTGCAATTCCCTTACATCGGTTCTAGTGCTGGTCTGACCTCAAGGTGTACTGTTTCAATGAAATAAGCCCCCAGGAAACATTTTACCTTTTTTTTTTTTTTTTTTTTTTTTTTTTTAGGTTTAAGATGAAGCTTCCCAGGATAGGGATCTGATTTAATACCTCATGGTTATTGAAAGGGCCAGTCTTTCATCTCCAAGCATGCTCATCCACATGATCTTGCAGCTCCCCTTGCTTTGTGGGCTCTGATCAATTCAGATTGGTCAATTTAGCAGAAGAGTTTACTGTTGAGACAACTTCCTGAACCAGCTCATAGGCAAGCTCTGGTAGTGACTGAAAGGAGGGTGGTTTGGAAGACAAAGACAGGATCATCACAATGCTAATTTGGATTGGCCCAAGGTGTCATTGTGAGGAAGTCACTGGTCTGTACACAGTAGGACTCTTAGTGTTTTAAACACCAGAGTGACCTGAATGGCCTTTGTACATCACCATAGTAAAGATAAAACTTAACTAAGGTTGAATTAATTGAATAATAATAATGGAATTTATATTTATTTAACTAGATACTGATTTGCTTTAGTTGGTTTGTTAAACTTGACATGTATGTTGACAAAACCCTTGCCAGCACCATTCTAAGGGCAAGAATAACAACCACCCACCCCAAGCCCTGACAGGTATATACTTATTTCAGTTAGAGAGATGTGAGTTGTAAAGAAATCTTGAGACTTGCCTGTGAGCCATCTTGCTTTGTTGTATTCACAACCTAATCCATGAATTAGTAGTAGAACTTTATAACAGTTGGATATGTAGTTTTGCAAAGAAAGTAAAAGGATTGTAAATGTTATCTGCCAAAAGCTGGCCATATTATAGGCCTGCTAAAATGATTTTTTCTGGATTTCTGTTATTTGAATTGAGACAAGTTTCTCTGTTAGTTCAGTGCAGTGTTTCTGCAGCAGAGAAGTCACCAAACAGAATTTTAAAACTGTTGTTAGGTTCTGAAGAAGGCATTAAAAATGCAGCAAGGTTCTAAATTGGTGGGATAGTGGTAACGATGTTTCCTCTTGTAACATTAATCTTGTTCAGAATTTTGCTTTGTGTATTTTAGAAAGGATGTGGATGAGGAAGTTAACCCTATATAGAAAAACCCTTAAGGGAAGCATACAGCTGCTCTTGGTTTGTTTGGGGTTTTTGGTGGTCTGAGGAGCCTGTGCAGCAGCTCAATTGCTGGAATTTTGTAACTTCACACTTGCCCTGGATAAGCTGATATCTGCAAGTTTGTAACCTGACTTGCTCTGATACAGTTTGTACAGCTCATGAAAGGCCATGTCCAAAGAAAGATGTAGGAAAACAAATTAAATTGCTTTAAAACCAATTAGCCTGGCGCAGACCTCTTCATGAACATTCTTGTTTTGGTATAAGCAGTTTAATTTTAATTGCTAGAAATCAATTCCAGTTCAGTTTAAGCTAAACTGAGACATGCATTGTTTAATCTGTAACAAGGGTGTTAACATAGCCTTTGAATTGGTTTAAGGAAGGTGGTGGTTTCAAAGCAGCCTAAGCTGGTCAAACTGCTCGATGCAGCAGTTTTATCCACTTCCTTCCATACCTAAACTGTCAGGAAACTAACTGAACTGTAAAACATGAATGGTTTTCTACCAGCTTAGTGTGCTGAAACAGCTTGGTAGACTGCCAGAACTGGTGAAAGAGAGAGGGCAGGAATTTACCAGTTGGGTGCAGGAAGTACAGAGCTTTGTTAGGCAGCATTTAGATGGGGTTAGGCTGTAATGAAACTAGAGCTTAAACCCATAGCTGACACTTCTTACTTATGCTTTACGTGATATATATGAGTAAGTCTCTGGCTGTGGTCAGAGCTATGCAGCCCTACATGCTCATCTTCAGCTGCATTTTTCTACCCTTATACTTAGGCTGGCACTGATACTTACGCTGTTGCGTAGTAAGCTATATCAAGCAGCTGATCTAAGAGAAAATTGATCATTTTTTGTAGTATTAGTTTTTGCCTGAATCATGAACTGATTAATCCTCCTATTACACATGACTGCCTGTCTGCAAAATGTTGTGGGGACAGACATCTGGTGAGGTGGGGAAGGGAAGAGGAGTGGAGTTACTGTAGCACTTATAATTCAGATCTGCTTATAAGCTGTCCATGTGCAGCTTTACTAAAGACAAGGTTTTAAAATACACTACTCTCTTGATCAGAACAAGAAGGAATAATGCATCTGAGAACTGGAAATGGGAAATGACAGCTCAAAGAGACTACAAAGAGTCCAAAAACATAAAATGGAGATAAGAGGAGTGCTGTTCAGCAAAGGAGAAAGACCATGGATTAGATTATTATAATATTTTATCCTCTGCATATAATAAGTTAACATGTCTGACAGAAACATCTTGTTATGTTTCTGTTCCAGCCCTCTGGTCTACTTTTTAACCTTGTTTATTAAATATTTCAAGATGGGGCTTGCAAGGCTTTCTGTAGAATTTTCTGAGTATTTCCAGGTTGTGGTTCCAGAGCAGCATAACAAACCTAATTGTTTGGTGCGATTCTGTCTTCACTTGCACTTGTTCTCTTTGAACAGCAGTGAACTCTCCATTGGGCTTTTTCATCCTATTAATCTAGTAGAATTTTATTTTATTTTTTTATTTTTTTTTTTTAATTCTCAGGTTAGTTTTCTCCTAGTTTATCTTACTTAGCTGCTAACAGTGGCTGTGGTGGAAAATGGACTTCCATGTAGCTTTCATATGTTTCAGTTAGTACTGTAACCATTGCCCGTTTAGTGACTAGTCAAAAGGAGCTCTTCATCTCTCTTCTTCCCATCATCAGTCACACATCCTTTATTGCCTTTGCATCTGTGCTGCCTCAGCCAGTCCTCTTCTGAGTCTGTTAAGGACTTGGGTTTGGAAGTAGTTTTCTGCCTGCTTGTCTCCCTGAACCAGATTACTGGGGAGTTGGACAGATGTCATTGCTAGGAGCAGGCTTGTCCCCATTAGTGACAGCTAGTCATTAGCTTGTCATAAAATCATATACTGAGACACTACTGCTTAATGGTGAGAATTCTGACTTTTACAGGTTTTACATTGTTGCAGGTTTGTGTTGAAGGCTTTGGTCTTTGGGGCTTGTCTCAGGTTTGGATATTATGAATATAAATGCAAAATGACTAGTAAAATGGAATTTCCAGAAGACATTATGTATTTTATATATAATAGTACATAATAGTACATCATGTATCAACTTTCTTCGTAGTGACATCAAGTATTTAATCAGATAGAGATGAGATTCTCACTCCAGAGTGAAAAGTAATTTGAGAATCCCCCGGTGAATAGCAGTGCAGCCTGAGGCTTTTATCTCTAGTGTAGAGCCCTTGTTACTTGGTAATCAACAGGGGGTCTTCAGGAGTTTCTTGGGGCAGCAAGTCCCCCTGCAGCCAGGCTCTAGCTTATAATCAGTTTACATCTCTCATACTGCAAGTTGTTGGGAAGTGTTTCTTTTTCTTTAAGTCCTACAATGAAGAAACAAATAACAATGTCTTTTTGTACTTGTGTAAAATTGAAATGTAGTAGGAGTTCATCAGAGTTTACACAGCCATGGCTAACCTCTGTTATTTATTACATTAGGCAACCGGATTGGGTTAATTGCATCAACTGAAGTTTCTAGAATGTAAATAGGGCTTTAGTGGTTGATTGCAGCTGCATCATACTTCAAAATTCTGGCATAAGATTAAAATGCCTCAGAGTTAAATGTAAGTTCTAACAGATTTATCCATGATTTTGTTAAGTGTTTTGAAGATGATTAAACTTGCTATAGTATTATAGGTAATGGATTTGAAAAATCATAAATCTATTAGCAACCTTTCAGGATAACAAATGTAACTGGGAGAGTTCATGGTTCTGGAATCCATATAAATTATTAATTGAAGCCTACTCTATCAAGTTGAACTGTAATGATGTTGGCAATGGAGTTAGTGTTGCTCCTTTTTCTTTCAGAGTTCTTCATTGATTTCCCTCAACACCATTTAAAGTACATGCATTCAGAGCATTTGAGGAGGAGGAAAGAAGAGAGATGTGACAGTCTAGGTGGAAATCAGTTTTCTTTTTTTGTTCTTGTTCCTTCTGAAGGCATAGTTACACATTTCTGTGGGGTAATGACAGCTTAAGCAGTCTTCAGTCACTTTTTTATTCTTGTACCTTCTCTCACACTGCCTTCTTTTTCTAAGCTAGACTAGCTGTTTCTTACAGCCATCAAACGAATTCTTCACGAAACTGCTTTCGTAAAATTTCTGTTCTTTTGTTCTGTTACATTTAATGTAATTTAGTTCCTTGATCTGGTTCACCAAATGTTGGCAGAACTATTTGTGTCATAATAAAAGAGATAGCATGGGATTGGGAATTAATGTTAACAGAAGTAGCCTTGGACTGGGTCTATTTAAGTAACACTTCTGCTGAGTGTCTAACTTACGTAAAACATGACTACATTTCTAGTTGGAAACATTATTCTTAATTCTGCATATTTGACCCACTTGCATTAAGATATCAAGAACCTACTTACATCACAGAAAATTTTATTGGTGTAACTAAGTCTCAATTCACTGATATCTAATACTGTTCCTGAAGGACTAAAATAATGCTTTCATTGAAAAAATAACATTGCTGTTTCTGCTTCCTGGAAAACAAAAATAACTGCTAATTTTACTGTCTTTATCACAACTCATGTTGAAAAGCTTTTTTGATTTTTTAACTGTTTAAACAAACATGTTTCTGAGTTTCCTTCTTCCTGCTTTTTGAAAATTTCCAGAAGAGAAGTTTTGTTCTACAAACAGTAAATATTACCACTTTATAACAACTCATTTTTCGTAGAATATTTATTTAAAATATAAGAAAACTAAGTAGAGAACTAATATTCTTCATGGAAGTGTAGTAAACTTGATGTAGTTAAGATAAAGATAAAATTTCTTATTGTCTGTGCTTTATTTTGAAATGTAAGACTTTTTTTCCCTTCCACACCAGCTCAAAAAAAGGGTAATACCTTGCTGACAGTAAAAACCTTTTATCTTGCAATTTTCACACTTTGGGAAGGCTTTTGTTTTGTTTGCTTAAACTTTGTGTGAAGTTGAATTTGAAAACAGTGACGTATATTAAGACTGATTTACTTAGGCCTTTCTTAATTGGCTTGCTGTGGGTTGTGCTGAGGACGCAACACTATGGTAATATGTGCTGATCTAAGTCACACCTGCCATGCTGGCACTGTCAAGTTTGGGACTTATTGGTATACTGATTCAGCTGAAATTGATTTTTGATGATTTTGTTGGTTTTGACGATATCAGTTATCTAAACCATCTTGCTTTTTGGGTGGAAAAAATAACAGCGCTAGAGAACGGAAAAGAGAAGAAAGTGTATCTGCGTAGGGGTACTGTGAAGCCTTAACTTAAATCGGTGTAACTTGCTGTGGATTTCAGCTCTCATCAAGGCCTTGATGGTAGAGAAGCTAACACAAGTGTACTTAGAAATACACAGAAGGTGCTACTTTGTTTTGGTTTTAGTCTGGCATTATTTTGGTTGCATTTAGCTTAAGCTAAAAACTAGCTTAAGCAAGTTTTTAAGTTTAAAAAAAGGTATATGGAAAACAGGGGCATAAGGAGATGTAAGATGTCACTGTTAAGTCTTTGGTACTGCAGTTTATGCTGTGTTTTTACAGTAAGACATGTTGATGTTACTTGTTTTCTGGAAGAGTTACATTTGGGTATCATGGGAAAAACAAGGAAAACAACATTTTACTTTTACACATTTTCTGAGTTGGCACTTGCTTCCATTGAGGAAAAATGAGACCTCAATTAGTTGTCAGGGATTGCTGCTATTGAATGCTTACAGTACAGCACTTGGCAATGTGTAGAACATAGAAAATATGGTTGTGGTCTATGCTCCATATGCTGCAGCAAGAGAAGATCCCTGATGTACAATAATAACATATTTTTCTTTGTTTTTATAGTTTTTTCTAAGCTAAATTTTATTAAGTCACAATCATAGTTTATCTACTTAAAAACTGCATTACCATCACATAAAACTGGGCTTCTAAAATAATCATAAAGTGTGAAATTCAGTTGCTTTAGGGTTTAAGTATGCTTCAGTCTGTCTTCTGGGAGCAGTAATTACTAATCCTTTAATCACATGATGGCATACTGAAACCAAGATTTTGAACTTCAGGTGAAGCTCAGGTTAGCTTGTTCCCCAGTGGATGGTTTGTGAGAGCACTCATAGGTACTTATGTCAACCTTGGCAACATTGCAGAGCGATTAATAATGACCTAGTGATGTCTCAATTTCCTTCTAATTTTTTAAAGAGTTTTACATGTCTTTCATAAAACGCAGTTCAGAGCCACCAGGGCTATATAAGTTGCTGGTGTGGTGAGTTTATAGTAAGATGACAACCGATGACTTAGAGCATCTGAGACACAGGCACATGCTCCCTTCTGCCAGCTTTGTTACTGGGGGTGATAACTTCAGGCATAGATGGAAGCTGTGACTGCTCTTGTAATTTCCTTGGTTGAATGTGAGAGCTCTGAGTGTGAGAGACACTTAAAAGTTATGTCACTTTCTGTTTGTTATTCTGTCTTGCTGTCAAAAGTTACTACTTGACTGGGAGTCTTGTTTTATTTTTATCTACCAATTAATCTACCAATTAATCTACCAATTAATTTTATAATCCAATTTAGCAGGTACTACAAATGACTAAATATTTGAGGTAGCATATTTATTTTCAGATTATAGGAAAATTTAATTTTTGCTATTGACATATTTCAATAAGTTTATTTAAAAATGAGAATTGAGTGATGGGGACTGACTTTCCTCTTATCATGTTTTAACTTCTGTTGCTTATGTTCCTAAATACATGAGAGAAGCTCTTTGGAAATGTTGTTTCTCTGCTTTTAAAGTGTATAGCATTAATTAGCATAGCACTCTGCTAAACTACAGAATATCATTGGTTTTATACCTTAAGATACTAAAGTTTGAGAGGAGATGAATGGCCAGAGTGCTGTGGGAAAAGAAAAAAATACTTAATGTTAGTCTAAATATACTGTATTGAGAATTCACTGAATAGAGGCACTATTTAGCAAGTCTGTGTTTCCAGTTTTGTCAGTGATTGGGTGAAAGACAACTGAGAATTTTTATTTTGTTTGGTGAAGGAGTGTGAATGACAAACTGTAACCTTGTCTGAATGTTTTTAATCGATATGCACTCTTCAACAATATTGTTTGTATCTGTTATAGATCCTGGCTCTGCTGAACGCACAGCACAAAAAAGGAAGTTTCCCAGCCCTCCACATTCCTCTAATGGCCACTCACCACAAGATGCATCAACAAGTCCTATAAAAAAGAAAAAGAAACCTGGTCTATTGAACAGTAATAATAAGGAGCAGGTAAGAGAAGTCATAGTCTTGTTACACTAGAATATGAAACAATGAAGGATGTAGAGACAGCTGCTCAGGAGCTCTCTCCTCTTTAGGAAGCTCAGTTTTTCTACTCTAAGAAGTAGATACTCATTTTTCAATGCAGTGGGCGTAGGCATTGGCATTGTAAGTTGGATTTGGATGTTCTTTTATTTTTTTTTTTTACATCTGTATGAGAAAGATGACCTGTGTCCTGGTATTTGATTCCATAAAGCTAATAAGATAATAAGATGTATAACCAATAAATGCAATTTTGAACAAAAGGGTTATGGAGGAATATAATAACAATAACAACAACAATAATGGCTGTTATTAATTAAGACCATTAAAAGGAAATATTTAGAGTCATGATATCCTAAATTAAGAAAGTTCTCATAATATCAGTGGAAGTTTCTCATCTGCTTTCAGTCCTACTGACAATTATTAACAGAAGTCCAGCTCCTTCCTCAGTACTCTACAGATTCCCTCCCCTTTCTTTAAATTGCTGGGCAGTATACACTCCTAACAAACCAGTTATCGAAGAGTCACACTGACAGTACTTTTCAGCGTTCACGCTTGAAACCTTATTTTCAGTGTCTTTTGAATATTGAATTTATAGCATTTGTTGTAGTTCTAAGAAGAACTTGACTCCAGAAGATTTCGACAATTTCTGATTCATTGTATGATGCAAGTGAAACAATTAGTTGAAGTGTATTAAATAGCAAATGCTGTAAAGCACCTGCATCATCTTGGAGGAGGTTACATGAAAGCAGCCTGTAACCTTACTGAAATTTTCTCTCATCTAATTTAATAATGACATGCCTGTGTATTTTTCAAAGTTCTTTTGTGTGTCAGTGTATTTTGCCAGGATCACATAAACACAGGATTAAGTTCTGAGTGTTTAAAGCACTTTTTCCTGGTGTAACAAGCATCCACATTAAATATTATCTTGGTACGTTTGCACTGGTTAACAAAGAAAATGAAATTCCTAGTCACTGCCGTTGTCCTGGAACAAAGACTGAATAAATCAGGCCTTGCTAGACAACAGTCTTAGTGTCAAGCACATCTTATTTAAGAATAATTGTGAGGTGTAGTAATAGCATGTGTAAGCATGCTTGCACTAGTTTAATGTGGCCAGTTTGGTTTTTAATGGGCTTCACTGCAGGCTGTATAAATTCCTTTACATCCTGGACATTTACTGGGGAGATATTACCCCACTGAAGTCTGAGCTTCTAACTGTGCAATGTAGAGATAATTTTACAAACAGTGGAATTGAATCTTAGGGTATTAATTTCCACTTTTTATCCATGCGTTTGAAAATATATATGAAAACACAATTGCAGTTGTTGAACTTGATCCATTCCCCTCGGTAAATCATTTTCTGTTTTCCAGGTATCTCAGACCTGAAATATTACAGGATAGAATAAAGCTGCAGAAAAGCAGACTTGCTTATTTTGCTGTATTTGTTACAAATGAGCAAGAAAACATGATCTGTTTAGTTTTGTTTAGCTTTTACAAGCTGTTTTTAATTTAATAGTGTCTTGCATGTCAAATTTGAAATGGGTGTGCCTGAAGATGATTGTTTCTAAAGCAGGTGCAGAACTCTGCTCTATATGGTAGCAGGAGTTGTTAAAGATTCCTTTTCTGCTGAACAGATGTGAGCTAAGCACACAGATACTTGGTTTGCTCTTAGGTTAAGTTTCAAGTATAATGTAGCTGGTAGCTGTGGTTCTGATTGGCTGATAAATCCATTTTGAGGTATGACAACATCACTGGAAACCTCTAACTTAATATTCTACATTACAAAGTGCTTTGTAATATTTGGGTATTTCAAGATACCGTTACTAAAGTTATAGTTGCATGAAGCTTCGTGTTACATGTTGTGGATGCAGTAACAGATCTTCAGAATGGTGCCAACAGGTATTTAAAGTGTTGAAATACAAACAAAGGCTTATGGAATTGTAGAATGTAGCTAAGACAGGTTAAAACCCAGGAACTTCTGATATTTAATTGGTCAGTTATAATGTAACTGAAGTTGTCAGCCAGTTTTACTGCTAGCTTCAATATTAATTTAAACTGAATATAAATAGTGATTTTTTTTTCCTCCTCAAAACAGCACTATGATATTAATCTTTTTTCATCAGTTTTCTATGTCATTCTATAGGTCTTAATAGCTTTAATAACTTTAAAACAGGCTACCACCTATTTAAGCTTGAATTGGCTAGTTGTGAAACAATTGAGAAAGCAAAGCTTTTCTTTCATTACTACTAAAATTTAAACTCTTAAGTTTTACTCTGATTGGGACAAGTGAAAAGGTCCTTTGATACAGTCGAATCACTCATTTTCAGTCCTTTAGTTTTGCTGTTTCGGTCTTTTTTCAGTCTCAGAAGCTCTTAAACTTTGTTTCTTAAACTTGGCTTTGACAAAATAAGGTCATAGATGTCTGAAAGGTATAAGCATCCTCGAATAGGAAGTGAAATCCTCTCGTGCTCTAGCAAAAATGTTCTTCTGTTCAGTTTGGATGTTCTGAGCTGATTTCTATGGAATAGTTTCACAGGTTTTATATTTGCCTTAAAGCAGTATCTTTGATTCTTAGGAAGTTAGTGTGGATATACTGCTTATATTCACTTCAAAGTCAGAATATATATTAAATTCTTCTGGTAATTTCCTTTATCTGCATTTGAGGAAATGCCCCATAGCTGCATCTCCATGTATACACTATTGTGATTTTGGTCTCACAGCTGTGGTGTGTGTAGCTGTAAACAAAACACGTTTCTGCACTGGAAAATGCAACTTTCCTTTCTTCACTCTGAGTTTCTGTATGCCTTTGTATCTGTTTGAGTGATTGTGGCAATAAGACATTTGAAATGTAGTTAAAGCCTTATGCTGTCACTCTTATTGCATGAGATCTCATAGAACCTTCCTTCTGGAAGCCTTGTAATGTTATCTCATTAAATATATATACGAAGTACAGAAAATAACACTTTGCCCAATTCTGTGCTGAGAACAAAGTGTCTTTCACCAGAACTGATAAAAATTTGAGTGAAATTTTAGGTAGCAGGATGCTTAGAGAACGTTTGTGGGTAACATCCTTTCTTTGCCTAAAATAGTGTTAGATAATTGTAGATTATATCTCTTCTGGTGTATCCTTTGAGATATAGCATCTTCAGCTGGATCATCATCTAATTTGATCTTGAAGATCCTCTGTTTATGCAAAAAATTAGACATTGTCCTTTGTAACTTTAGAAATCTAGAAGGATCACGATCCAAGCCGGCATGCTGGTGGTTTCTGGTGACATTAATTTATGCCCCGTGTGAATAATTTTGTAAAGGATGCTGCAAAGGTATGGAACATGCGTATGCTTGTGCTCTTCTGAGTCACATGGGTGTGTGACAGCTCAAGCACGTAAGAACTTGCAGATGTGCAAATGATGCAGGACACACACAAAATTACCTGAGAACCAAACAGAATGGTTGTGCAAATTGCAAGCACTTGGATAGTTAGTTACAAGTAATGTCATGAGCAAATGGTTTTACACCAAACAGAATAATCACAGTAAATAAACTACCTAAAACTCAAGATTGCTTCCCTCCATGCCCTCCTCAGCAAACCATCCCTATAATTAATGCCAAACAGAAAAGTTAAGTTCCCTTGTCATTATTAAATAGAATATAGTTTTCTACTAAGTGTTAGCAGCTCTTCAAAGCTAATCTAACAAACTTTAGGTATCTGAGGACCCATTTTAGCCATCCCAGGCTCTTCGCTTCTTGTGTTTTGACACCAGTTATGTCATCTTTGAGCTGTCTTGGGCTCAAGTGGAAGAATAGTTTATGCAGTTTATTAAGTTAATACTCTTTTCTAGTGCAGGCAAATCAGTGGAGATTGTGAGTCTTAAATTCTGATATGCAGAGGATTAAATCTCTCCCAGTGTTCCTGCTCCTGTAGCAGAGCTGGCTGTTCAGGATGTGAATTTGCTCCTTTGTCATCCTCCTCTACAGTTTGCTTTATTAGTCAAAATCAGCACCCATTTGCTTCATTGTACAAAGTTGTGAACTCTGGCAACTTAGGACAGATTTGCACGGTGTTCCAACTTCTTGTTTCAGGACTAACTTCTTCAGTTGTCCCAGGTTTAGCCACCACTAAAGTATTTATATCTCAGTATTTAGCTTGCACAGCTGCATGGAATTCTGAGTTTAGAGGACCTAATAGCTTCTGTAGCAGCGCTTCTTTCTTGAAGATAAAAGACTTTACTGACTTTTGTTGGATTGCGTGTCTTGCACTTGATTCCCTCACTTGTCACAAAAATTTATGTTCAGTCTTGAGTGTAAGCTGCCATTTGACATCTGAATAAGAAGTAAACCTTTTTATGAATGATTTTGTGCTATGAATAAGATATTGTGCTTGTGTAAATGTTAATCAAACTCTGTAAACTGCTGTTTACTTATATATTATGAATATTATTGTTTGAAAAAAATGCAAATTTGTTTTGAAACCAAACCTGTTTTTCTTGCCTACATTTCAGTCAGAACTAAGACATGGTCCGTTTTACTATATGAAGCAGCCACTCACCACAGACCCTGTTGATGTTGTACCACAGGATGGACGGAATGATTTCTATTGCTGGGTTTGTCATCGGGAAGGCCAAGTCCTCTGCTGTGAACTCTGCCCTCGGGTTTATCATGCTAAGTGTCTGAAACTGACAGCGGAACCAGAGGGGGATTGGTTTTGCCCAGAATGTGAGGTTAGTTTGATGTAAGGAATGGATTTCTTTCTTGTTTGTGAGATACAAGCAGCTTTTTTGCATTCTGAAATGTTTCTGGTTTATTCCTATATTGCCTCTTGGTAAAGGTACCAGAAAAATTTGTACAGAAGAGGAGGCATCCATTGCTGCTTCACCAATTTTTCTGTGTGTATTCCTGGATTGTGTTTGCCTTCTTGCCAGGAGTCTTCAACTTCTTTTGTGTTCCCATCTCTGGGGAAGGCACCATTTCAAAGAGTCATCTTTTCATCAGGCACCTCTAATTCTGAAAACATTCTGCAGTTTCGACTAGTTTAATTTGTGGTTCTTCTAGAAGGCTTATCAGCTCTGCAGCAGTGTAGAAAAAAATTGCACTGTAGGGTCTACATAAACAAGTGGGTATTTTATTATGATTTTTTTCTGCAGGGCTGAGGAAGAATTCAATCATTCCTCTCCAGTGGTTCCTGGGGACAGAATACTTAGCATCAAAGTGTCTTTAATGAAAGTCAATTGGTTCATTGCATGTTTTTCTTTGATCACTTATGGTAGTAGGCCCCAGGTGACCTTCTCACTCATTCACATTGCTGTGAACCTGCATTGTATTTGGGAATTTTATGTATTCACACATTCACTTTGCATGATCTTGAATATGATGGAGAATTTTCTGGTATTTTTTTTTTTTTTTTTTCCCCCAAAAAAAACTAGTAAAACAAGCATCTGAAGTACTTATACTGCATCATTGGAAATGTTGTTTCTTATAAGATAGTTATTATTTTCCATTTGAGTGCTAGAATGTTTCAGTGGAGAAAAATTTACATAGAAATGTTTGCTGACAAAGTATTTTTTTATTTTTAACTTTTAGAAAATCACAGTCGCAGAATGCATAGAAACACAGAGTAAAGCTATGACAATGCTCACCATTGAACAGCTATCATATTTACTGAAGTTTGCACTACAGAAAATGAAACAGCCAGGGGTAAGATTTTTTTTTTAATGCTTGGATTGTATGTTTGTCATAATCCTGGGTTTTGCTTCCTTTTGTGGATTATGAACCGATCTTATTTTATCAGATTGTATGTGACAGCTTCTATGCTGTCTGCCACCTGTCTAGTACAGATAAATTTAGGCTGTATATACTGTTTTGGAGTGAATTTAAAATGTAGTTTCTTGATGTAACTTCTGGACATAGTTTCAGTAGGTGTAGTGAAAATATAACGTGACTTTCCAGTAGGACATGGTGGTTTCTCACTCACCAAAAGTGGACAATGTTGTATCTGAGATACAAGAGGAATGAGGAGACGTGATCTCTTACCAATACAGTTATATAGGCAGGAACCTTAGGCACAGGCACTGTTATATTATTGATTATACCTGTTGAAAACCTAGCTTCTATCATTTAGTAGAAATTGTTCTTACCACAACAGCTAGTTGTATCATACACTTCTAAAACACTGAACAAATTTTCCTCAGTGTGGTGAAAACCTGTACCATTAACTTTCATGCAATATCAGCCTGCTGTTCTATGAATTTTTATCACAGAGGTAAAATTTGTTTTCCTCCAACTTGTACCTATCTCCTTGTGTCTGTCTTAGACTCACTCCTCAAAATCACCATCCTGCAAAGGTTCAGCTATTCCAGTCGATCATTTGTGCTTCTAAATTGCAGTTCCATCTCTATTTCAGTTGTTCTTCACCATGTAATCTTACCTAGTTTTCATGTGTGGAGAAAACAGTAAATCAAAATACAATGTGCTTAATTAACAAGGGTTATCTTAACTCCTGTTGCCTTCTTGTTCCTGTAAGTAAGTTAGAGGAGCAGGGAGAGTGTCTCTGTGCTGGTGTTGTTATAGTATAGATGTTATAGTAAAGTGCTGCTTTTCAGAAATAAAGTGTCAGTGTTTGTTTATGTTGAATTCACAAAGTGTTTTGAAAATGTAGTTAGAAAGATAAATGTTTAATAAATGCTATTGAGATATTTTGCCCTTTAGCCATTTTGTTAATAACCTGTTCTTTTGGTACCTGAGTGCTTTAAGAATTGCAGTTCCTCTACATTAGCAGATGAAATGTAGAGTCCCACTGATACAAGTTTGAATGTTTTTGTATTAATAAGCCACCATTGTTTTGAAAGTTATGATTCTAATGAGAGTCTGAAAAATAAGTATTTGTGAGTCTAGTAAATTGTAAATTTAGTGTCTTTATCCTGCTAAAAACTGAACCTCATCTGATACTCTTCACCAAAAAAAGTTACTCTAAATAATAACAGTGCATTTTACAAAACCCCTAACTTTTGCATTTCATTACTTCCAGCATAAGAAAAATCAGATAAATGAGACCTTTTAGTTCCTCTTTTTCTGCCAGTACTTTATTACTTCACAAAATTTTATAATTACCTTTAAAGAATTTTCTCCAACATCTCTGTTGGAAGTAGTATTAGAAAAAGAATGAGTAGTGTGTCATTGATGAAACTGTTCACTATTAATAAGCAGTGTGATTTTCTTTTTCCCCTAACAGACAGAGCCATTTCAAAAGCCAGTTTCACTGGATCAACACCCAGATTATGCAGAATATATCTTTCATCCAATGGACCTTTGTACATTAGAGAAGGTTTGTATGAAGCTAAGGGAGGAAGGTTCCTTGAGTTTGTTTGCTAATCATTAAGATTTCTGGAGTGTTTGATGGGAGGCGGAGAGAGACTGCTTGAAATTATTTTCTTTTTTTTTTTTTTTGAGGTTTTTTTGTTATTATGAATGGTGGTTCAGTTACAGCATCAAAACAATCATATACTAATTGAACAAGTCCACTGTTTTGTCTGAACCAGTAACAAATGCTCAGGAAAAACAGTATGAAAAAGACAAGTTTACACTGATGTCTTCCTCCTGTATAAATTAATCTAATTCTAGGAATGATCCTGTGGGGAGACTTCGCTAACCAGAGTTTGCATTTGATCTTCATGTTTGTAAGCTGTTAACAGATCACTGGTCCATTAATTTGGCATGATTTGTGTCTATATCCAGGGGTCATTCCAGACTCATTTTACTGATCATTCAACAAATACTGCACCTGAGGTGTGGAAGAAAAATCAGTCAAGAGATGGATAATGGGACTTTCATTCTCAGTTCAATAATAATTTAAAAGTTCCATATAATGAAGTTGTTCTTCTTCCTCCACTGCTTAATGAAGAGTGAAGCATTGAAGAGATTTTTTTCTGCTAGGGCCTGATGAAGAAACAGCAACTTTTCATTCTCCCTGTTCTCATAGTGGAGGTTGATGCCTTTATGGTATAAAGGTGTAACAAATCCATGTGACTGATTTTATCTAATTACTCTGCCCAATGGGTAGACTGGAATGTGAAACACCCTGTCTTATGTACTGTGACCAGTAATTTTTTCTGGGTCTTGTAAAAATTTAGAAAGAAAAGTGCTGTGGAGCAATGATATGTCTGTAGAAGAAATAAAGAGCTCAGTTTTCTGAAGAGTTAGTGAATGGAACACTTTCAGGAAATGAATATTTTTTTTTTGGAAATGTTGAAGATGCTGGTCTAAATAATTCATTATTTAGAGTTAATTTAGACAGCTCATACATTTTGACAGCAGTCAAAAGACACCCTGAATTTGAGAGATTCTTAAGTATTTTAGAATCATAAGTCTTACAGTAAATAAGTACTCAGTGTTATTAATTATATGACTGTTAGGAAAAAATTTTCATGAAGAAGCTGTCACTTTTTACTAATTTCTGTTTCCTGATAAATTCTTAATTTTTTCTTTACAGAATGTTAAAAAGAAAATGTACGGTTGCACTGAAGCATTTTTGGCTGACGCCAAATGGATTTTGCACAATTGCATTATTTACAATGGGGGTGAGCATTAATATGTACTTATGTTCTAAAATATGAAATTTTGAAATAGTTAGAGAGAGAACAATTTGTAGCCTTTTAGTTGGCAAATGCTGAAAGTATCTTCCTGTTAATGACCATAGTGCCTAAATGCAACAGATTTTTTTTTTTTAATCAACTGTCCTACATAAAACTGTAGGACCAAATACAGCCTGTGCTGTCACTTGCTCATTCCACCTGAAAAACATATAAAATAAGTTAGAATCATAGAATAGTTTGGGTTGGAAGGGACCGTAAAGATCACCTGGTTCCAACCCCTATCATCTGGTTCAGACCCCCAAGTTGCTTTAGTGTTTTGTGTTGTGCAGCACTCTATCAGAGATCTTACTGAGGAGATGATACAGCACGTCCCTCACTAAAAGAGTGTATCAGGAGTGGGCAGGCTGCAATAAGCTTCAAAAAGGAACATTTAGAGATTGCTGCTATGTTATGCTGAGAAGAAAAGTGCATACCTTCTGCTTTTGCAAGCATGTAGTTTATACATACGTGTTTTACATGGTCTCTTTAGATGTTCTATCTTGTCCTTAATGATAACTTTTAAACCTAAAACCTGTTGATTTTATCATAATTCTAGCATAACAATTTTCTTGGTTAAAGCATTTTATTGTTTGCTCAGGAAATCACAAATTGACACAAACAGCAAAAGTCATCATCAAGATCTGTGAGCATGAGGTATGTGTGTCCCAATTAATTTAAGTTCTGTATTTTTAAAATGTTGTTTCATACATTTGTGAGTGAAATAATGTGTTTTCTAATGTATGTATTGCATATCTATAATTTTTGTATGCTTTCTTATGTTTCCATATGCATATCCATGGCCTACAGAATAATTTTTTGGCAAGGTCACTGCTAAAGTGTCTTCCATTAGGATAGTCAAGATCTATAATTAAGACTTTGGGGGGTGGCAAGGAGGGAGAGAAGAAAGTGGACAGAGGGATTGTGCACAACGACACCTGTCTTCCAAATGAATATTTGGAGTTGGAAAGGGAGACCCACATCTTCTGATTCATAGATGCATTTTTGGTGGTTCTTTTGCTGTAACAACATGAAATTCCTCTGAATAAATGCAAAAATTACTGCATGCATTCTTAAATGATCATTTGCACTGATTTTATTTCAGTGACAATCCATAATGTTTAGTATTACAAAAACTTGCTATTCTAAATGAAATATATGCAAACAATATTTCATTGATATAAAACATCTGATGATCTGATCCTTTATGTTTATGGAATTGCTTTTTCCATCCCCAGGCTGACAGTGATATCTGATTCACATGAATTCTGAGAATTTATCAATTCTTAATAGAACAAAACACATGTAAAACCTGAGCCTGATATCTTAGCTGGTTTATGTAATATAACCATAAAGAATAAAATATTTTATTTTTGGTTCTGCATAAATGATGAAATTAAATGCCCAGGTGAAATTATATTTTTGCCACTGGAAGAAATTATGATAAGTAATTATTTAACACTGGAATAAATACAACATCAAATGAGGGATGTATTCTTTTTTGACTGGAATAAATTACAGTAGCATACAATCTGAAGAGGGATGTAAAAGTGTGACTGATTTATTAACTGGAATGCATATGTTAGAGGTAGAAAAAGATGTGTCTGTCAGAACACTGACAGACACAACACTGTGTCTGTCAGAACAGTGTTGATTTCACAGCAAGTAAATGTTGATTTACGACCATGAATTTGTGGAAAAATGATGCTAGCAAACTAGACAGGTTAACATAACACCAATCACACTTCGGACTCCACTTAACTTCTTCAATAACTGCTTGCTTTTTCTTTTCAGATGAATGAAATTGAAGTATGTCCGGAATGTTATTTAGCTGCTTGCCAAAAACGAGAAAATTGGTTTTGTGAGCCTTGTGTAAGTTAAGGATCGTTGCAGTCTAGCTAATACATCAAACTACCAGTTCTCATTTGACTGTTGCTTGTTATCCCTTTATTGTTTTAAACCTGTGGTGGAGTGAAGGAAAGCTGCTGTAGTTTATCAGTAGCTTGTGCTTGCACATCATGCTCTTTGTGGAGTCCAACTGTCTCAAGATGTTTAGCTGTAAGATTGCACACTTTCAGTCAGAAATAACTAAAGGTTACAACTTTAGTTATTACAAACTAACTGGTCACAACCAGTTCACAGCTTCTCTGTCATCAAAGATATGATTTCTGCTCCTGGGTCATTTGTGCTTGCATGTGGTACTTGCACTCACAATAACACTTCTGAAATGTGAATGTCTTTTTCTGCAGGTGTGGATCTGAGAATTCAGACTTGATTTTTCATTTATGACCTATTAATAGGTTTTCTGGTTTTGTTTAATACTGCACCAAACTTGGGAAGATTCCTTAAGATTCTGAAGTAGAAGGGTATAATCCCTCAAGTTCTCTCTTGGCTTTAAGTGAAAATTAGAGAATTTGAAAAATTTGCCCTAGCCTAACTTATGTTATGCTACATATTTGGAGGGGACTAATCAAAAATAAATGAATAAGAAAGTGCAATTACAATGTGTTTAGTTAATATATTTATGGTTTTATGTACTTTAAAAATTTTTTTTATTGTTTTGTCCTCTCAGGATTTATTATGTGTATATTAAGTATATAGTAAAATGGAATCTTGTATTTGGCAAGTGCCGTGTGCATGTTGGATCTTTATTGAAGCTAAGTAATATATACAATTAAAAAAATTAATGTTGTTCATCAGATTTTCAGGTAATACTGCTTGTGTTTCCTTACTATGTATTTTGCCTCTTCCTCTAGAGCAATCCCCACCCTTTGGTCTGGGCTAAACTCAAAGGCTTTCCATTCTGGCCTGCTAAAGCACTGAGAGATAAAGATGGGCAAGTTGATGCCCGTTTCTTTGGCCAACACGACAGGTGGGAATTTAACCAAAGGATGTCTTTGACTGTACTTACAAAATTCTTGTTGTAATTTTTTGCTCTTAGAGTTTTTGGATCCTGTCTTTTCAACCTTGACCCTAATAAACTATGTACTACTGTAGCATATACAGTTTTAGTTTCTTACATGATGTCTGTAGAATATGTCACATGTTTGAAAGATCAATACATTTATAGTCTCCATGAGTACACAAGTTAATTCCTGTATCTGGTTTTGTGCTGCCGCGAACTGTAGTTCTTGAGAGTGGAAGAGGCCAATGAAATTATTTATGTTGTCTAAACACAATGGGAATAAACACACAATTGTAGATTTAAAAAAATATAGACAATATAATCTGTGTTGAAAATGCCAGTTTTGATCTGAAAGGAGTTAAGTTTTCTGTACTTGTGAACTCTCTGCTTAGATGGAGAAAGCCATGATGAATATGAGTTGATTTGTCATGAAATAAAATTATAAACCTAGACAGTTGTACTGTAAGAAAAACCTGCATAGGTCCATGAAATAATTAAGTCAAAGGTCCTGGTATTTTAGTATCTTGGAAGGCACGGATTTAGAGTCTGTCTCATTTCATGATAAGTAAAATCTGTCCAATACTTGTTGATAGAACTTTTCCTGTCATCACCCTGACATGTGGTGTAAAATAGAATATTAAGTTTTTAAGAATGTGTTTGTGAAATCTGTTTTTCCTGACGTGCTTTTTAAGTTTTTCTGCTATGACAGATGGAAAGACTGTTTAGTGATGGTCATTGTGCAGTTACATAGACTATTCTAATTAGGAATATTTTGTCATATTTGACCAGTGATAATATAAGACGTGCAATTTACTTACCAAAACTATGCATCTAACTATTAAAAGAAGGTGGAGAGGGTCCTTTGAAATTATCTGAGGTGTGCATATCTTTATGAGGAGGCTAAAATAAATCAGTATGTGCACAAAAGTTGCCAATGTGAATCCACAGAATGAAACGTAGTTACGTTATCTTTTATTTTTCTGTTTTATATATAGGGCCTGGGTTCCAATAAATAATTGCTACCTCATGTCTAAAGAAATTCCTTTTTCTGTGAAAAAGACTAAAAGCATCTTCAATAGTGCAATGCAAGAAATGGAAGTTTATGTTGATAACATTCGTAGAAAATTTGGAGTATTTAATTACGCACCTTTCCGGACACCGTATACTCCCAACAATCAATACCAAATGTTATTAGACCCTGCAAACCCAACTGCTGGAACTGCAAAGACAGACAAACAAGAGAAAATCAAACTGAACTTTGATATGACAGCATCGCCCAAGATTCTAATGAGCAAGTCTATGCTGAGCAGTAGTACTGGTCGTAGGATTTCACTGACAGATATGCCACGGTCACCAATGAGTACAAACTCATCAGTTCACACTGGATCTGATGTTGAACAGGATGCGGAGAAAAAAGCAACTTCCAGTCATTTTAGTGCCAGTGAAGAATCCATGGACTTTATTGAGAAGAATACAGGTAAAAAAAAAAGGGGGGGGGGGGACACTTTGCATTTGTTTAACACACTAGTTTATTTCATGCACTTTTTACAGAGAGATTTTGTTTTATGAAAAAATTTTAGAAAAAAGACGAGTGTAGCGTTCAGTATCACATATAAGAAATAACAGTCCTTTCTGTCACATTGAGAAGGAATAAATAATCTTGAAAAGTTACCAAAACCCTTCAGTTTAAGTATCAGGAAATAGTTGTAACTATCAAAATGAATGGAGAGTTGAAATAAATACAAAAAGAGTTAGAATTGTAATGATTAGGAGGTATTATATGTAAAATTTGATAACCTTTTTCAAGGCAACATGCCTAATTTATAGTGTACCCAACTGAGTAGCTAAAATACGACAAAACTACAGTTCTATGGGCAGAGTGGATAAAGAGAAAAAGGAGAGTAGAATACAGAATTTGGACTTTTCAGACTTAAAATGTAGTTAAAGACCAAATGCTAGCTAATTCTGTGGCAGTCAGGCAAACTACTTTATCCTAGTTTTTTTAATCCGTAAAAGAAAGTTCATCACTATCTGAAATAAATAATGCAGTGTATTAATTAATGTGGGTGATTTAAAATTTTTGTTGGAAGGATATCTTTGTGTAGAAAATAAAATCAATATATTCCATTACAATTTTTAGATTAAATGCTGCGGTTTGTTTATTTTTTATACTGTTATTTTTTCTAGCTAATACAGGCTAGGCTGTGAAACTACCTTTGGGTACAAAATTTCTTGTGGTATGACCCTGTCCATCTTAAGAAAGTGATGACAAAGTAACTGTATGAATTTAAATATACATAAATACTTGGATTTTTTGGTAGAGTGACATGTCAAAAGGAATAATTCATTTCATATGTAAACTATCATGTATATAGGTATGTACAGCTCTTACACATGAGGTGTAGCTAACAGGTACAGTTTTGTGTCTTAAATGTTAGAGCTTTTGTTATACCACATCATTATTTATTTATAGTACTGGAGATATTAGTGGAAAGTCACATTAAAGCTGTTTTGTCAGATAAAGGTAAAATAAGGTGACACATGTTATCCTGTTACTCTGCTTTCTTGGTTTTCATAGCAGTTCTGGGGAATTTTTCTAACTTTTCCTCAGGCCTTACTATCCTCTCTCCCAGGGCAGAGAAATGCTGGATTGGATTTAACAGCAATTCAACTGGAATATTCAGTTTCCCAGTTGGTGTTTCTGCCTGTATATTGTTACAAATGCTAACTTTTGTAGTATTTGCTTTATGTATAAACTGAGCTGTCCTGTTACTGCAATCTATGTGTTTCAATTAAAATGTAAATGAAACTACTTGTTTGCTGCAAAAAATAATTTGAGTAGCGTGACTGCACTATCCTTAGAGAAGAACACTTTTATTTGGATGCCTCTGTTGTGTATTTTGAGTGATGTGTAGAAAATAACTTGGAAACAGTTACTGAAATAGCAGATATTGCTACTGTTTAGGAATCTGAAAATATATAGACAATCCTGGATGTACTGGGGAAGAAAAAGCGCTCAGTAGTGAGTATAGGATGACATTTTCAAAGCATTAAGCAGAGATTTAACAGAGAGACTTGCTAACAAAAATCAGTTCTTTTTTTCTTAATAGCCTGCAGATTCTTCCCTTTCTAGACCGTTTGGCTGTTTCCACAAGTTTGCTTTTGAAATATTATTTCATGGAGATTTTAAATGCTCAGAGCATAGGATTTTGCTTAAACTCCATATAAATTAGCATATTCTGTTACCTTATCAGAGGCATTTGGTCGCTAATCTCCACCTGTACTGATTAAACTTACTATGATTTGTACTTTTAATTCTCTGTTAGTGTAGGTAGAAAATGGGGTAGGTGGGTTTTCAATGTTTACTTACATACATGAATTAAAACAGATAGCAATTTAGAGTGTTAGAATTTGTTAACATCTAAAATAACCAAATCTTGAAAGCTAGAAACTTTCTGTCCCTGTGAACAGAGTGGTTTTAAGGGTAAGCACACATTTGGGCCAACTATATAGTTGCAATAAAATTATTTTCCTTACAATTTCTTTATTAAGCTAAAATTAAAGAGATAGTTGTAAACACAGTGTTGAAATTATTAAACAAAAATCCTTTCCCTGCTTGTGTGGGTTTAAAAGGTGTTTTGTCCCAGTGAATATGGCTTTATTGTGATTATTTTTAAACCTGTCTTTATGAATTTTCTGCTTTTTCAGCTTCTCCAGCACCAACAAGAACGGGTCAAGCAGGTAGCTTGTCAGGCAGCCCCAAACCTTTCTCTCCTCAAGCATCAACGCCAATTTCTGCTAAGCAAGAAAGAACTTCCACTCCAGGAAGCATTCTGAATCTTAATCTTGGTTAGTCTTGACCTTTGAAAATCTAATGCTGTTGTATGAGAGTAAAATACAGTGGTGTCAGTGTAACATAACACGAACAAATGTGCTTGTATGTGGCTTTAAATGAACAAAGGGCTTTAAATGAGGCATGTGTGTAACTATTGTTTCATCAAATATGCTGCTGGTTTTTTGTTTGTAAATGAAAATTCCTGTTACTGTTTCTTCTCATTGATGAAAGGAAATAGTTAAAGGATGATTTTTTTTTTTAGATGTACAAATGAATGTTTCTAAGCAGTAGGTAAGGTTTTAAATGCTGTAATTACATGAAGAGTGCTGCTCTTCACCCTTCAGCTCTCAAGTGAATCGCTGGCAAGGTTTTCCTGTGGTCTTTAGGATTTAGGATTTATTAGGGCTTCTTCTCTCTTGCTGCCTTCACATCACCTCCTCACTGACCATCCCTCTTTAGGGAGATAGATGGATGAAAGGAATTAGCAGATGTCTTGAAACTCCCTAGAAGTAAATTCTGGGATTCTGGAATTTTGAAAGATGGAGTAGGTGAGTATTAAGTTGTTAAAATAGCTCTGAAAACCAAATGGATGGCAATCAGTTTCCTCAGTCAAGCTTTGTTCCTGTGAGTATTCTGATTCAGTTCTGGCTGCTTTTTTACCTACACATGATATTACCTGGAGAAACAGGATTCTGCCCCTTGGTTTTAGCCAGAACTTGAGCTCAAATGCTGAATTAATGTTTTCAGTGAGTTACAGAAATCCTGTTTCTGGATACAAGCTCACAAGTATATTTTTCAGTGTGTGAATCTATCTCTGTGATCATAACCAGAGAATTCATTTCTTCTGCTGCACTGCAGCTGTTTGTTGTCTTATCTGAGGTGACAATGCATTTGGAAAACATTAAGAAATACAGAGTGCTGCAGCAGTTCAAGCCACAGATTGGAGACACCAGCTGGAGCATAGAATGTTTTGAATAAATAGTGTGGATCAGAAAATCCAATGTTATGGTCCTTGAGCAGTACCATAAAAGAACAGCTAGTATGCTTTCAGGTAGAATATTTTTCAGCTGTAGAGGAGTTTCCTTTGCTAAATGTACTCTTTGGTGCTAGGCATGAAAACAGCAACCCTTTTTATTAGTGTCAGCTGTGCCAGACACACTCATCTGTGAACCTTATGGTTTTCAGATATGGCTTATTGTGTCTCATTGTCATACATAATGCAAACAGTTTCTCTCTGAAGAAACCAAAGTGAAAGTCCAGTAACCAAAGACACTTGCATCCCTTGAGTAGAGTACTAGGAGGACTCTATGGTCACCCTCCTATTCAGCAATAAGGAAGGAAAAATAATGGAAATGAGTCATCTCATGTTACTGCAGATGGGCTAAATCGAAAAATGGAGGCATGAATGATCAAACTATACAGACATTGTTTGGAAAAAATACCTATTCCTGATAGTATAGGACCTGTCCTTGTGTAACAGAGGCAGAAAAGGTAGAACAGAAGTTTGACCAAGTAAGGAATGAAAATTTTCAGATCGGTAATGAGAAAAAGTGAAGAATTCACAGATAAGAACTTGAAGATTTCTCCACAATGAGCTTGTCTGTCCTTTAGCTCTGTTTTCTTTTTACTAATACTTTGACATTAATGAGACAGATTGGAAATGCAGATCAGTGAGACCTCCTTGTAGGTTAGATAGAGAAATTTGGATTGCAAGACTTCTTTCATATATTAGGATTACCTATATATATTTATATAATTATATTATTTTATCTTAAATTCATTAATCTATCTAGTGTAACAATCCACTCTTATATTTCTGTTCTCCTGACTTGACTTTGAATTTTAAGTGGTGACTATAAGGATTTTTAATCTTATTTAATTTTCCCTTTGAAAATATTATGGCTAGTAATAATAAACAGCAGCAGCTTACTAGAAGTGCTGTCAGACAGCTTACAGACCTGAACAACGATTTCTTGATAATTTCACATTGATGGAGAAAAGATCCACATAATTGATGCGTGTGTTTTGCACGTGAAATACGTAGTATCGGAGAGGAACCATCCATAGTTTGTAGTAATGTCACTTTAGAATTATTGTTTAGCCCACAATTATAAAAGAAGTCAAATACATTTGTCTGCACTGTTACTCAGTAAAATTTGTCTTATCTGGATAGTGATCTCTATTTGTAATATATTTTTCTTAGTTCCTTTTTCTTTTTCTAGATCGTAGCAAAGCTGAGATGGATCTAAAAGAGTTGAGTGAGTCAGTCCAACAGCAGACCACTCCTGTGCAACTCATTTCACCAAAACGACAGATACGTAGCAGGTTCCAGCTTAATCTTGACAAGACAATAGAGAGTTGTAAAGCACAACTTGGTAAGTATATCCCAAGAATACAATGGGCATCTGAAGGGATACACTTGAGGAAATTTTGAATTGGAGTTTAAAACAAGTTTTCAAATAGTAAAACCTTAAATATTTTATGCATTAAAATGAGTAAAGGATATTTGAACTCTCTGAGGCACATAGAAATGCACTGAACTAGTTTAATTTAAAATACAGAGAGACCTGATGTTTCAAGTTTTTGTCAAAAAGCTTTCATCTTTTAAACTGGTTTTGTCCTATTCTGATGTAGATAGTATGACAGAATTACAGTTTTATTTGCTTTATAAATTGAAAAATTCTATTATGCCTAACTTATGTCAGTTGCACAAATATGTATATCCAGTCACACAGGAGCTGAATGCTGTTAGAAATATTAGTGTTGTCTAGCACTTAATTAAAGACTTTCTAGGCACTAAAAAAAATTAGAGATTCTCCATACGAAATTTACATAGTCTAAAATTGATTCTGCTCACATGCATGCAAGTTACTTAAATCAGGTGAATAGCATTAAGTCATTTTAAGGTAATTCCTCTCTGTATTTGCCAACATTGGGCCTAAGTTGAACAAAAGAGCTTGTAGGTAGTGGAAGAAAGCAGTGAAAGGAAGGCCATTGAGTGAAATAAAAACATGAATTGAAATATGTGGAAGGTAATTCTTATACATTCTGTTACTGAGATAGGGCATTAAGGGAAGTGGTTATAGCTTAAGGACTGACAGTTACAATAATGGTATGTATACACTTTGTTCCAGTATATAGAGTTTTTGGGTTTGTTTTTTTCTGTAATGTCAGTCAGTCTGATGTCAGCATGGAATGTACTTTCCTCCCCACAATTAGGAATAAATGAAATATCTGAAGCTGTTTATACTGCAGTAGAACACAGTGACTCTGAAGATTCTGAAAAATCTGACACCAGTGACAGTGAATATAGTGATGAAGATCAGAAATCAAAGAATGATCAAGATGATGGAGAGGACAAGGAAGGTACAAGAAGTGACAAAGAATCATTGAGCTTGAAAAAAAAACCTAAGCCTCCAACACAGAATGAAGACAAGGAGGAACTTAAAAGCACAAGTCCAGAAGTGGAGAAAACAGATGACTCGGTCAAAGAAAAGGCAATCACAGATAGTGAAAAAGAATTTTCTGAAAAGGGAAAAAGTTTACAGCATCCTGCAAAAGAAAAAGTGAAAGGTAAAGATGAAACAGACTCTCCAACTGTGCATCTAGGACTGGACTCTGATTCTGAAAGTGAACTTGTCATCGACCTAGGAGATGATCATTGTGGCCGTGAAGGAAGGAAAACCAAGAAAGAATCTAAAGAACCTCCTCCTAAACAAGATGGTAGGATGAAACTCTTTCCTTCCTTTTTCAATTTGTACTATAAGGCTGTTATCAAAGCCAGAGCTGTTAGCTTTATTTTTGCATTAAGATGTTAAAAATAACTGTACTAAAACATTTTTTTAATTATTTTTCACTCTTTTTGACTATTAAAAAAGTTTTCAGTCCTCATTACAGTTTCTGGTTTAAATAAAATGTTTCATATTTTTCTTTCAACAACAAAGAACTATGAATATCCATAATATTTGTTCTGTTACAAATTTATAATTTATTTTTCAATTTTTATGACTTTCAATTCAATCTTTACATTTCCATAGATCTCCCAAAATCGCAGGCATAGAAGAAGCTGGAACTTACCAGAGATAAAAATTGCACAACATCCCATTGAAATCCATGTAAATGCTCTCAGTAATAATCAAAAGAAAGCTAAATCACATGTATTGTCCCTGGGATTCCTTCCCCCTTTTAGCAACACATAGAAACACTGTCTCAATTAATAAGTGATTTTGCTAAGCTTGTTCTGCATGTTAGCCTTTTGACAAAACAAAACAGAAAGCCAGATTTAAATGGTCAGATAAATATTTTATTCTTCATGTAACTTCCTTTTCTTCTCTGTATTTTATAGCAAGTTGGCTCAGTCATTTTATTTAAAACGACATTTTCAATCAATTTACTAAGCATCCTTTAGAAGACAATTTAATGCTTCTGAATTTTGAATCTTAAAATATAATTTAATGGATAAATGCTATTATAGGATAATCAAGAAAACAGGCTTATAAACTAAAAACAGAATTGTAATTTTCAAAGCCACTGATTAATGTATTACTAATGGCCTAATCCAGTGATGGCTGATATAAGAAGTGATCCTAAAATTTTACTTTTATATAGAGGCAAAAGAATAATACATATTCAGAGTGAAATTAAAAGTGGATTTAAATATTCAGATGTATATATATAGACCTATATGTATATATATAGACCTAATTTCTAGATGTAATTTGTGTCCTGTCCATGATTCCAAGGCATACCTTTACTTGTGGCTATCAGATATTAAAATGCCTTGGTCCAGAAAAATGATCTGATGCCTGCAAATCTGAAGGTCTCTGCCCTCTCTCCAGGAACCTGTCAATGCAGCAGCCTTCTCTTTCAGACAAGTTTTTCCAGGCCAGTTCCTAAATTGATCTGCCATGTGGAACAGTCAACTACAAACTCTAGAAGATTTTTAAGTAAACATAGATATCTTAAATACACTGCATATTTGGTTGTCAGTGCCAGTTCACCTTTCATTAGAAAGTTTTCAGTATGCTATTCCTTCAGTTATTGTTCAGTTACTGTTCCATTTGAATGTATTTTTCTCCTGAAAGAAATTGGGATGACAGGTGTAAGTGGTAACCCAGAAACATCTTCACAAATACTAACCTCCCACATATCTCCCAAAGGAGGTCAGGCTGGCCTTCTGGGTTTTGTCCTTTGTTTTGTTTTGCCTAGTGGCTAGTGCTTCTGAATTGCCACCAACTTTAACTGCACTGAAATGAGCTTACTTGTAAAATACCAGTTACCTTTTGAGGAAAATAATTCAAAGTAGACTGGAAGGTGCATATGGCTCTTTCAAAAATTAGATTAAAATTCTTAATCAGATATGTTGGTGAAAAGCTGGCATTACATTTTATGTTTGTTTAGTTGTAGGTAAAACTCCACCTTCCTCCAGTGCAAGCACCCAGCCTCTACCAGAAACTCCAGTACTTACCCGCTCTGCGTCCCAGACTCCACCAGCTGGTGTGACAGCAACTACTAGTGCTTCTTCTACTGTTAGTGCTCCATCTGCAGCCACTGGAAGCCCTGTGAAAAAGCAGAGGCCTCTGCTGCCTAAGGAAACCCCCCCTGCTGTGCAGCGTGTAGTGTGGAATTCTTCAAATAAATTTCAGACATCTTCTCAGAAATGGCACATGCAGAAGGTGCAGAGACAGCAGCAACAACAGCAGAGCCAGCAGTCTCAGTCACAGCAGCCTCAGTCCTCTCAAGGGACAAGATATCAGACAAGACAAGCAGTTAAAGGTATACCCTTTCTAACTCAATGTGCCCGTGATGCCATAATTCCCCAGTAGTGATCTCAGTGCTCCAAGGCTGCCTAACCAGGAGTTCTTCCATATATACAAAATCTCAAAGTGTGGTTCTACTCTGATAAGTGACTTTAAAATACAACAACTTACTCACCATACCTGCTCTTTCTGGTGTGTATTTAGAGTCATGTCTCCTTATTTTAATGACAAAAAGTTTGCGTGTGTATCTGTATAAATATTTTTGCCATTCTTAGCCATCACAGATTTGGGACAGTGAACTGAATTATCTTCTGGATTATAAAATAAAACCATTAACTATTCCACTTGCACGATTACCACTGTCACTTCAAAATCTACAAACTGGATCCAGTTTTATCTGACAAGAAGCTGATCTGTATGGTTTTTCATTGAGTATAATTTGACAACAATTAAAATATACAGGTTACATTTGTCTTTGAAATCCCTGTTGCTTAACTTAACAAGACTTTAACGCTAGTTTACTGAGCAAACAGCCACAGCATTTTAGAATGTTTTCACAAGTCTTTTCTTATCATCCCTTTGCTGGAGGTTTTGTTAGTAGTAGGTATGTGATAATATAAGCCCATGCTTCCATTGCTTCACTTCACAGAACAGCAACTTTATGTAAATCTAGCTTCATTTGTAATTTCAAGTTAATAAACTGAACTGTTTATTGGTGTGCCTGATGAATATCTGCTACCACTGCTGGCAAGCCAGTAACTTCACACAGAAGAGAGCTGTAGGTAATGGGTCACACACAAATGTTTACCAGAGGCACATTTCTCTGGTCCCAAACTGCACTTAAGAAGTGTTGAAGAAGTGGCATCTTTCTACTTGTAGACTGCACAAATTTGATACAGAAATATTAAGTGAGAAAAAAAAAAAAAATGGAAGCTTGGTTGAAGCCTTAGTTTTAATAGAATCATTCTTTATTATAAGAGCTTAATAATGAGCTGAACTTCAAATGTTCAGCCTATGAGTGTGATTTATTAATATGTTTACTATTGAGTGCATCACAGCAGTGTTCCATCTTAAATATTATATTCTAGAAATATATCAAATGAAAACTATATAATCTATGGATTTCTTATATATAGGCATAAACAAAAATCTAGTACATAGAGATAAAGTGAATAACTTTTTTTATTTCAGTAATTTCTGTTTTGAGGATATTGGCAATGAAGACATCTTTTATAATATGAAATTCTAAAACTAGATTGAAAAATAGTGTCCTAAGAAAAAAAAAAGTATTTTAAAAGTATTTAAGGCAGATAAGTAATTAGGGACAAAAAGGTGATGGTCTTTGCATTTTGATTTGTACTCTCATTTTTTTGAATTACCCACTGTTTAAGATTATTTGAAATATTGACCAAAATTGAGAAAATTTTTCTTATCCTGTGTGAGTTAACACTATGAATAACTTCTTTGCTTTAATGAGTTAATCTAATATTGCATTCCTTGCTCTGCAGCCAGCCAAAAGCTAATATTGATCTGGGTGTATGTATATTAAACATGTCATGACACTAATAATTATTAGCATTGATTACAAAAGAATGGGAATCACCTGGAAGTATTACTACAGTAGGCTTTCTTCAACAGTGGCACACTGAACCTTGTTTCAAAGCAAAAAGAAAAGGAATTCAATAATATGTTTCCAAACTATGGCAAATGAAAATGTCAAAGTCTAACTTATGCTCATGCATATGGTATTAGTTGGGAGTTCTCCAAATTGAGAAGAATGCAGATCTGAGGGAGACTTATGCATTGGCCAGTCTAAAATAGTGTTTCAAAGATATATTTGCTTCATTACCTTTATGCCTTACAAGGTCAGTGACTGAGCACTGTATAATAACTGATTGAATGGCACCATCATGATGTAAGTCTTTGAAATGGTTCGGTGCCCGCATTTAAGTTAGACACTAGAGTTAGAAGTTTGCCTATTTATTTTCACAATTGTTTATGTGATTGATCTGCTGTATGTTCTCTTTTCTTAGCCGTGCAGCAAAAAGAGATCACCCAGAGCACTTCCACATCCACTATAACCTTGGTCACAAGTACTCAGCCTATTTCTATGGTTACCAGTTCTGGATCTGCAAGTACACTTTCTTCCTCAGTTAATGCAGACTTGCCAATTGCAACAGCTTCAGCTGACGTGGCTGCAGATATTGCTAAATACACTAGCAAAGTAAGTTCTTGAGCAAGGTTTTATTGAAATTTTATTTTGAAGTAAACTTTCACATTTTTTACATTTCAAATTTTTAAATAACTTTTATTTTCAGGTTGTCATATGTTGCAAATTAATTCTACTAGGTAGGAATAGCCAGATTTTGAAGAAAGTGCTGGACCATCTTTTTAGAGCTGGCTGAATGGTGCCATTCCAAGCCATGACTGACTTCAACTGCTCAGACACTTCAGACCTTCTCCTTCTCACATTTCCTCATTGCTGCTTCTTATTTACATTGCGTTGTGTTTTGGACCATTTTCTGTGTTTTCTCCTAAAGATGTAGATATCCCCTCAGAATCATATTTACAATAAACATTAATATTTCTTCATCTGTATCAGTAATACATATATAAAAATGTAGTTTTAAAACACTGCATAGCTTCATCAGATGGTAACTTGTCAAAAGTGTGTATTCATGTATTAAAACAGAAGCTAGGTTGTTAAAAAGAAGATGTGGTGTAATACTTTTATCATGATAGTGACAGTGAGGGATGGGACATTAGCTTTTCATATATTCTCTTAGATCTTTAAATTAAAAAATCAAGGTGAATGTTATATAGGTAAATACAATTGAGTGCATTAAAAGCACCAGAATTAATCTTGATCAGCTTTCAATGTCCTCACTCAACCATATGGTCTTGGTGGGATTGTCAGTAAATGTCTTTTTTTTTTTTTTTTTTTTTTTTTTTTTGCATTGAGTTTCTTCCTTAAACTTATAGGGGGTTTTTTTGTTGTTTGTAAATTTTATCAATGGCAATTTCTTGTAAAAGCAGATGGTCAAGCAGTTCACCAGTTCAGGACACTTAAACATCAGAGTCCTGATCAAAAATATTGTGTTCTGCCTTCTAAATAGTTCTCTAAAAGTAGACTCAGATAAATATATAGAGAGATACGAGGCATTGTTGATAGTAATATAAGTTCACATTAGAATGGTTGAAAGGAAGTGAAAGTGGGTATCTATTAAAAATATATATAAAAGAATTTTTTTTTTCATTTTGTCTTTCAGATGATGGATGCCATCAAAGGAACAATGACTGAAATATATAATGATCTTTCAAAAAATACTACTGGAAGTACAATAGCTGAGGTTAGTGTAAAATAAAAGAAATAAAATAATCCTGCTTGTATTTTAACTTTGAAAGCTGCAAAATAGTATTTTTATATATGAAAGTACCATATGAATATGCCTATAAAGTATTATAAATTGAGACAGTCTAGCGATCCTAATTTCCTGTTTTAGAAGTAATGATTAGAGTGGTAAAGAAAAACATTGAAAAAATATCAGATGGGCTCTGTAAGATAAGTACCAAGAACAGTAAGCTATCTGTATAATAATTATGTATTCTACACTGCACCCTGTTTACTATTACTAACTATTAATTTTTTAATGTTTAGATTCGGTGTTTGAGAATTGAGATAGAAAAACTTCAATGGTTACACCAACAGGAACTCTCAGAAATGAAGCATAACCTAGGTATGAAAATGTCAATCCAAAATAGTGTATCAGTCCAAATGCTTGTAATACGTAGTATGTTCTACCTTCATCTCATGATACAACAGACTGTCCAAGCGAAGGACATAAAACCTTATACAACGCGCTGCGCTGACGTTAGCTGACACCTTTTGAGTATGTACACAAAGTTACTTTGATCTGTGTGTAGTAAGGAACAGATGTTCAGCCCTCTGAGATAAATTTAGGCTAAGGAGAGCTTTTGATAGGACAGAATAACTCTTATGCATCACTGGATAATCCCTCTTCATGAGATATTTTATGCTGATTGCTTTATTCTAATTCTTATATAAACCAGGTTCTGTTCATACAGCCACTGGGGGCACATGCTTCCTCTGGTACCTTTGGAGACATTTATATTCAGATGAGCTATTGGTGTATATAGATATTTATTTATTTATTTAAAGTGAATAGCCAGCTTTGACTAATCTTGATGCTAGACTGTCAGTGAAATCAATTCAAAATACTACCTTAAACAGATAAAAGAATATTCCTCCTAGGAGGGGGATTTTCATCTATATTTACTCAACCATATGGAGAGGAAATGAAACCATGATTAAAATGTGATTCCTCTTAAATTATCTTTATTTAATGCACTGACAGTGGGAAGAAGGTTGCAATTGAGCAATCAAGTCTCCTTTAAACTACATGCAGTCCAAACAGCCTTAGGACTGTGTAGATACACTTAGGACTGTATAATACAGTGTCCTCCTTCACTTTTTTGACTTTCTTTTTGTAGAGCATATCTGGGATGGAAGTTAATTAAGGGTTGAGTAGCTCCATATTCAGACTCATGTCTTTCGTTTGTTATAACATTTTGCTCTTTCAAATCAGGGTAAACCAGTTTTTCCACTGCTCCAGTCCATTTGATAGCAATCTCCAGAATTACTTGGGTATGGCAACAACTCGTCTGCAACTCACAGAACTGAGTATCTAGGTGTGCTCAGAAATAAAAGAAAAATCCTTTATAGTCTTAGTCACCGGTCTTAAGCTACTGATGTAAATGGAACACCTTTAATGGTGTTTTGAAAGCTTGCAAAGACAAAGCCTGTTAGCAGCAGCTGCATACAGCCTTTTTGTATTTATGCTGCACCTAGGACACCTGGATTTTGATCCTTTGTGGGACATCGAGAACTAAAGTGTTAGATGGAAGGTAATGGTTAAAGGTAAAAGTCATGGTGCCAGAATAGGAACAGAAGATGGAAGACTTTTCATTTGTTGACTAAGTATGAAACAGATGCCCAGATTTGGATTGTTAGTTTTAATTTCATGTTGTTTTTTAAACTCATGAAAATGATTGGTTTGCACCTTGCTTTTGGGGGGGCAGAAAATGCACGACTCACCTTCCTTTGCATTTTGAGTAGAACTGACAATGGCTGAAATGCGTCAGAGTCTAGAACAAGAACGAGATCGTTTGATTGCTGAGGTGAAGAAGCAGCTGGAATTAGAAAAGCAGCAAGCAGTGGATGAAACTAAAAAGAAGCAGTGGTGTGCTAACTGCAAGAAAGAGGCCATTTTTTATTGCTGTTGGAATACTAGCTACTGTGACTATCCCTGCCAACAAGCTCACTGGCCTGAGCATATGAAATCTTGCACACAGTCAGGTAATCTTGCTCTGGGTTGCCTTTTTCACAGCTGAGGGGGTTAGGGTGGGTGGAATACACCGTGTCTCAATATACTTCATTTGCATGGGTGCAGATGATGTGCCTGTGAAGACGGACTGTGGACTGGTACACACGAGTAGCAGCTACTTTCTCTTTTTTCCTTTATTTTAGCTACTGCAACACAGCAAGAAACAGATACTGAAATTAGCACAGAAACATTAAATAAATCATCCCAGCCCAGTTCAAGTGTGCAGCCTACACCCACAGAAACAGCCAGCACCCCGAAGGAAAAGGAAGGTTCAACTGATAAAAGCAAAGAAAGTGTTACAGTGAGTATCATTATGGTCACTTCAAAAATAATATGTAATATTTCTCTGAAACCTACCCCTGAAAGCTTCCCTGGATGAGTCAGGAATTTATGACCATTTGCATATTTCAGAGAGTGTGATTTGGGGAATGAGACAGGGAGTTGTGGTTTTTTTTCCTTCATCTTGGCAAAAAAAAATCTCCTTCTGTCCTCTGGGAACACCCTTTCCCCTTCACTCATTCCCAATAAAACCTTGTGTTGGCTTGACTCATCCTTCCAGCCAAAGGGGACTGGACCTCTTTCTCTCTCTCTCTCCAGGACCCATCAGTGTAGCTTCTGGTCTGGATCTTTCGATACAAGTTGCCTTCTGATAAGCAATACTGACTGCAGCACTTCCAAGCCCTTCTTGCCTGGGGGTTCAGAGGCCAAGCTCAAGACCTGCATTCAAATCAACTTACTTTATCACAACAGACTGCCACTAGTTTACCACAATGTTCCATAACACTGATACAACAATTCACCTGGATCTACAGTTAACGGAGCAGTGTGCAGTTCCGAAATCCTCCATAGCATCTACTCTGATAGTATTCAGTAGGCAAGGATGAGCAAATGCTCTAATAAAAGGGACTTAACATTGCATATATAGAAAATGTTTATAGAGAAGATTCTGCTTTATAGGTAGGGCTTGACTATTAGCAATTTCAGCATCGTTTTTCTTCTGCCCTTGCAAGATTTATTAAATTAAAAATTTTATTGGGGGGGGGAGGGGCTGATCCTTCAAACCCTTAAACGTGATCCCCCACATCAGTAGGAGCCTTGTTGTATTTTAAAAATATTAAAAGCAAACTAATTTTGTAGTATTGTGATTCCAGCATGATGTCTCATTGAGATAGTCCTATAGAATTGGGAAGCATAGTAAACTAGAGAGCTGTGTTCATTTCTTGACACTTTTGCTACTGTCTGGTGTTAGAACTCGGGGCTTGACATGTCATCTAAGGGAGTAACTTGGGAAACAGATTCAAAGAGGGAAAAAGGATGTGCTGTTCCACCTGAATGCTTTGGTGAAGTTAGTTAAACTCTGGCTCAATGCTCATATGCATTGTTTGTGGCAGCACAACCTTTGTATTACTGGGAAACATGGGATGGGAGAAAATCCATTACCTAAAACTTTTGCCAGGGAATATTCCAGTTATACAAGTCTGGAATTGCTTTCACACAGATGTTCTACCTGAAACATCATGCTGTATACATTGATCATGTTCATAATTTGAATTTCATTTTATTAACAAAGAAGTAACCTGTGAATTCATTAAGATGCAAATTTCTAACAGAAACAAAACACCCAACATAAATTTCATATCATAATAATAATAACAACTAGGTGGAATTTATGTAAAAGCTGAGACTTCTACTGAGGTTGCCTGTGCTGTCTCTGCAGATAGCAACAGGTGTGACAAGCAACCAGCCTATAAAACTGGTCCAGGTACCGCAGACCACCACCTATATTCCAACTACTCAACCCACAATTGTAAGTACAATATAATCATTTAAAGTCTGCAGTAGTACTGTTCCTGGCATTAAAACTGCTCAGTATTTCTGGGGGGTTGTCTCCGTCTGGTGTTCTACCAAGATATGAATTCACTGGTGTAGTCTCAACTTGCAGTGCAAAATGTCTTATTTTGCTGTGCAGCATTCCACCTTTTCATTTCATCATTCATTGTTACAAGGATTCAGAAATTGTCATTGAGCATAGCAAAGGCACTGAGGATAGTCAGACTTCCATTTTCCATTAGGATGTTAGTTATTTGTCTGTTTCCTGTACATACTTGACCACAACATCAGTGTAAATAGATAGAAGTAATTTTAAATATCTTTTAAATATCTTTTTGTCTATGGTATACTAAAGAGATTTAATTAATTCTGAGCTGTGCTTGATATTCCTGTGACATCTCAGTAGCTATGAAAGAAAATATGCATTCATCAGCAGTGTGTCTCCCGTGCAGGCCTGCACATTAGCATTAAGAAATTATGAGAAATAGCATTGGAATCAGACCTGGGTTTTTTTCCATCAAAGACTTAACCAAGGACACTTGAATTCCCTAGTGTCAGTCACAGGAGATGGGACAGAAATTAGTTTGATTTTTGTATTTTATGCACCATAATATCCCAAATTTCCTGTTCTATCAACTGGCTGTGCTCTGCAGTGCTCACTTCAGAGTCAGCAGGGCATCTGAGCTGACATTCTTCTGCCAAAAGGCAACGTGCTGACATGGCACTGGGAACTGAACTGGCTCGGTGGGGGGTTCAACAGAGAAGCCCATGTGTGGATAACTTCAATTCATTTTCTGACTGAAGCTAGATAATTTATAATAACTATGTACTAATTTAACAGTGTACCTAAATCACACTGTGACTGCCAGGCCTAATTTGCTAGAGAAGTTACTCTGCCTGTCTCTCTCCTCGTGTGCACACACCCACGTGTGCACGTGCACGTACTCCCACACCCCCCGGCTGCAGGATACACGCCTCTGTACGTCTGTGAATACACACACATGCACACCCACACACAGCATTTCATAGCCACTATATTCCACTCAATGTTACTGCTCTTAGTGGGGATCACGACTTTCCACATTCCTAGCAGCATTTTAACTCATTTTGTCTCAACTGAGAGCACTGTGCACCTTCGCAGCATTGGCCCTAAGTTGCTTGGACTGAATTACTGTAACAACAAGGTTTTATATGTGTTTTAAAATCAAATAGCACACAACAAAGATGTTAGGCTCTTTTGTGAACAGCTGTGAGAGGTTTTAAGATCATAAGGTGGTTTTGTGTAATATTCAGAAAAATGGCAGTTACCTTCATCGGTTTTCTGTAACACAAAGTGTATTGAGTTATGTAAAGCATAATGGGAATGTCTGAAATGTTTCAACTTTTATTTGTGCATGTTTAAAACTTTGTACACATTTGCATTAGTCTTGCACAGCTACAGACACCTCTGTATTCTAATGGCTGCACGTGCAATTTAAATAATTTTGAACCTTAGTGCATGTTCAATATGTATGCAAAATGTACATATGTGTAAAACTGGCAGAGGTGGAAAATTTACCTCTCAGGGAATGATCTTAACACATTTAAGGAGTCTCGCACATTCCATACCCCGATCGCTGTAAGAAAAGAAACTTAAGTTTTTCATTTGTGTGAGTGTGTATATTTAAAAGGCAACTGTGGAAACCTTAATTTCCCCACCTGTAGTGCTAACAGTGACTTAGGTAATGGCTTCTTTAGGGTTCAATTTGCACTTTGTTTCCAACTAGGAATTTCTTCCCTAAACAACTTCCAGTGTATCTTCTGGGTACCATTTCCATTGAACTCTCTGTACGCATCTGAAATCATTACAAAATGGCAGTAATCTTGAATTTATTTAGCAAACTGGTTCCATATTTGGTTTTTATTCTTTCTGCAGTTAAAATAATGTAAAAATATTAATTCATAGTTTTTGCATTCCAGGGAATGGAATGAGTAGGCTTCTGGAAGGCATAGACTTTGTCACAAAGGAGCTGAAATCCATCTCAGTAGGGATACTCACAATCTTTGTTGAATATGTTAAGACACTAATGTGGTTTCTCAAAACAGTGTGGGGAAACATTGGGCTTCAGTGAACTTGTATTTCTTCTTCCATGTTCTCTTTGGAATGTCACACTACCATCGGGGGAAGATCTGTGCATCCCTTTCAGATTCCTCAAAATCTCACTTCCTGTTTCTTCCACAAAATATCGTGAACTGAAATGGATGCATTTGTTTGATCACCAGTTGTGCGCACTGGAATTGTATCAAAACATACTTGCAGTTTGGATGGTATAGAGATTTCCAGACTTTCTCACATTTTTTTGGAGGAAGGTTAAGATACAGACTTGAGATTCAACAAATTCTCTTCCAGATCTTCCAGAGTGATGTGACCTTGACCAGAGTGTTTAACATTCTTGTGCCTTTGTCTCTGCATCTGTAGAATCAATTACCACCTATAGCAATGTCCTGAAACTTCATTTGTCAAGATTTATAAATCATGATCTGTATGATGGAAGTGAAAATTTTATTCTATATTAATATTTTTACAGGGTGTGTAAGACAGTTCACAGTAATGCTGATGTTTTTGTTATTGATTTGTGCAAAAGTTAACTTAAGTACTTTTTTGTTCAAATGGATGTTCTTTGTTCTCTTCTGTGTAGACTGAACGCATGGGGGAGTTCCTTTTGGGGAAAAAGATTTAAGTAATGTGTAACAAGAATATACTTATAAACAAGGGTATTTTTGTACTCCAGTTTGATTTGTCAAAGCTTTTTCAAATGGCAAAGGATTTTCTTAGCCCTTTTTCCTCTTCCCATGTATTAGTTTGGGAAAAATACATAACTGGATGTAGTAACTATGAAAACGTAATTCTCCAAGCACAGACAGTGTGTACAGTACCTATAGGACCACCTGTCCCTGTAATTATATAGTAATAATAATACAGAGAAACTCCTGGCTATAGGAAAGTAATACACTACTTTCTACCCTGGAATGAGGTAATATTGTGGTAATAAAGGTATTAATTCTTGCACCAAATTGGAATCTGTTCTGGATTTTCCCTGGAAAATAAATCTCTATTTCTGTGGTCATGTTTATGTGACCTTTAACATAACAATATGTTTCTCTTGATTTTAATCCACAGACCATTCCTGTAGTGGTAAGTCCTTCTGCTGGGACAGTGGCAATGAGAACTGGAGTTCAATATGTTCAGACCACAATGCCAGTCCAAGTACGAAGAGTCTAACTGCTAACCAGAAGTCCATACAATTGTTGGAATAAATAAATCTAATAGAAATGTGAAAGATAAACACAGTTCTTTGGATTAACCTCAAAGGTTCAGACTTTAGCTTTGTATATGTGTACAAAGCATTAACTACACTACATTAATGTAAAGCATTAGCGCTGGCTTAGAAAAGCTGAGGACAGGTAAGATCCATATTAAATCTATGCTTCTTTTGTAAATAATGTACAATTTGTGGATGTCATTAAAGTTAGAGTACCATCTCCTTTTTATATTTGTATTGACTTTAACTTATAAAGAGCGTTTGAAGTTGGAAAAGGAAGGTTTACAACAGCCTTATCACAAGCTAACACTGAAACTGGTCTTGGGAAACTGCAATTATGCATCAAATAATATGATCATGAGAAGCTGAACAACTTGATTTGCATATGGATTGAAAAAAATTTCTGCACTTTGAAACTCTTGTAGAATTTCCTTGAGCAACCAAGTCATGAAGGGTATCTTTTTTCAGTTAATTGCATTAGCCAAATTATGACATTTCCAATCTGTGGACCTGAAATACATAAAGATTTACATTGTTTTTCATGATGACCAGACTGTTAACACTTACATTGTTTACAGGTTAAAATTAACTTAAAATCTCATTCAGTCTAATATCAGAAAAGTTGGAAAGTGTCATACCAGCTGGTTGTAGCATGATTTCTGATTACTGATATCAAAAATTGAGAAAAGCAAAGTTTGTTCCTATGCTTCACAGTTCAGTTTGTTTTTTAAAAATCCTCCAAAAGGACTCTGAACAAGAACTAGGTGCGGAGAGAAACACGGAGCGGGAAAATGGGCAAAGGACTTTTGATGCTGGGCCAGAGCATGTATTATTTATATGATGGAGTTTATGTTTTTATGTAAGCATGAAACAGTACAGTATGAGAGAAAGTAACCCCTGAAAATGCTGTCTGTTACACTTATGCTGTAGTACCATTTTGTATGTTGTGTAAAACAAAAGCATTGAACAAAGCAAAGGTGATGTATGTATATGAGAAAATTAATTGTATGATATCATTCCAGTACATTCTGTTGTACATTTTAGTCATGTTGATTTCTCCCATTGTTTATAAAAGAATGCGGTTTGTACAGTCTCCAGCTAGTATCCATATTAGAGGGGAAAAAGTATTAGAAGAAAAAAGCGAGAACAGAATATTCGTGAATTGCAGTTGTGTCAAAAATAGCCTAGCTGGCCTTATTTGTGAAGCATAATTGCTTTTAGCATATGGAAGTATTTTTTCACATTTTCTTTGTATAAAATTTGTATTAAACTTAAATATCTTTTTTGACAATTGTGTTTCTTTGTGACTAAGGCAGGTGACACACACTATGCTTTGGGTTTCTCCAATTTTTCAAGAAACTTCACGACTTTTTTATTAAACTGTTTTAGAAAAATGTTCTGTGTTCCTGGATTTCCAGTTTCGTTTCAATCTGGATGAATGTTCGTTTCTGCACACTCTCCAGATCAGAGATAATTTCACTTATGTTAGGATCTTCTGTCTCAGAAGTGTGGGACCTCTGAATCCAAGCCTGTCAAGTTGAGAAAAAACAAAGTAGTATTGGCAGTCTGTAAGTAAGAAGCTATTTATGTATAAGAGTTGGTTGCATCCTTTTTCTCTCAGTTTTAACAGCAGCAAAAGTCCATTGATTGTTGTGTAACATTTATTCATTGGTTGGATTTGGGTTGGACTGATCTGTGTAGTCTTGTTAGGTGTGTTTGTGGGTTAGAAATGGGGACTTTCATGGTGAGTACAGTTGTAGCCTCTAAGAGGGCAGGAATTGGGCAAGACTGCTGTGTGTGTCTTAATTATCTGTTAGAAGAAACAAGGAGCTAATGGAAGAGCTCACTGTAAAATCTTACTATGAATATTGTCTTAAAGTTCCTGCTCTTGGAGTTTTGTTACATGGATTTGTAAAACAACTACATTTAATGTTCCTGGTGCTACTGTTTAAAGAAAAGCACAAATATTGAAAGCTTGAAATGATGTTTTGGCCTTCCTCATGTAGTCTGAATGCTGGTATCACTGAAAGCAGCTCTTGTGTGAGAAGGAAAAAGGAGAGATGAGTAATTCAGAAATTGTTTCAGGAAACCAGACTGCTTTCTGAAACCTGTTTCCACTTGTGGGTTTTTTCTTTTAATGGGCAGCGTTTTTTCCATAAAGAGTTGTTTCCTTTCCTCATGTGATATAATAGGTGACCAAATCCTAGTAAAGATTTATATAAATATAAAATAGTAACTCCCAACAAGAGTTATCAGGTCAAGATCGAGGTATTGTCTTGGATGTTCTGGTGACTGTATTTTTTCTACATTTTAGCTAGTTACGGTACGAAGTTCATTGCTTTTCTGAAGATTGTTTTGCATTAACTAAAGTGAAGAAAGAACACCTCTGGCTTGGACATTATGGGAGGAGATGACACTGATGTGATATAATTTAAAAGACAGGCTGCATGTTTATCGAAGGTATGACTGAATACCATGACTAGGTGTAAGCTGCATCCATCACTTGTGTCCAGAGTGTCCCTCTACCCTGTGTTGTGTATCTCTTATCTTGGATCCGATTATTTTTTTGGGGAAAAAAAAAAAAAAGTACTGTGCTGGGTCTGGAATTTTTACCTCTTTTCTGATGGTGATGGTCCATCAGTTGCGGTACCTGACTCAGTCCTGGACTGAAGACACTCTGGATGGCTGTCCTCTCTGTCTAGCTGCAAAGGGTGATGCAGAGAATTGGGTGTTGAGTTGATGATGGCCAAAGGATAGTAAGTTGTAAATAATGAAAAGCCTTTTTGGCCAGATACCATCCTGGGAAAACTTGTTTTCACCCTTTACTTACAGACACTGGGTGTCCCTCAGGCTTGCCATCCTCTGTTATAACCTACTGAAAGGCATGTGGGCATATTACTGCTGATTCCTCTGGTGAGGGGACAAAATTAACTTGGAGTTTGAGCTTAGAAATCTTTCTATTTTTATTATCATCTTGCATTATCACGTTAGGAAGAAGGAGGGGAGACTGACACTGGTGTTTCTTATATGAGCCAGTCAACTCCAAAGCTCCACCAAACCGTGGCAGTATTTTCCTAGTTTTAGCGTTCAGGAAGGCAGGAGCTAATACTGCATTCAGGGTGCTCTGAGGTTTTGTTTTAGCCCTGAAAGTGGTATGATGGGGGTGGAGTTCACCATAGCAAGGTCTCATCAGAGAAGCCTGATGCTGGCACAGGGATGTGAGGAGCAGCCATAGATGGGTGGCTCAGTGCCACGCAGCTGGAAGTGCTGCAGTGGCAGTTCAGGTGGCAGAGAGGCTGTGATGCTCAAACTGGAACTTTAGGGGCTGGCTGTGGGTGCAGGGTTAGGAATTTGCCATCAGTTGTGCTGTCACCTGGTGCTGTCGCATGCTGAATTCGCTTTTCAGTGCTTACATCATAGACATGTAAGTACTTCTATTGCAGAGGAACGAGTTGCAGCCAGGAGGAACATAGTCTGGAGGCACAGGCTCCTCAGTTCCACATCCTCCTCGGTACAGATGTGTCATCTCAGAGTGGTGCTGCAGGTTCTGCTCTCTGTGCTCGGTCACAGCTCATCTCCAGCAGCTGAATGCCGGGTTTTTCATCCTTTACACAGAGGCAGAACCACGGGACCAGAGTCCCTCTGAAGAGCTGTTACCCTTTCTTTGTGGATCGCAGTGGGAGTTTTTAAAGTGACTGTACAGCTGCATCTTCATTGAAGGCATTCTAGAAACGAAGAGGTTTTTTTTTTCCCTTTTAAAAAATAATATCTATACAAAATGCCAGTCTTGAGTACTTGCCCAGTGCTAGTCAGCTCTGCTGTGCTTGTCTTACCGGCCCAGCTGTGTATCTCTTAGGAAAATGGGTAAATGCTGAGATCTGGTTTTCTGTCCCTAAGGCTCATCAAGTGAGGTGGCTGTGACTCCAGAATTCTGAAATGGACCCCCCCACACCAGGCCCTTGCCAGCAGCTGTCTGGGGAAGGAGGGAGGCGTTGGGCTTCCCGTGAGGCCCGGCTGCCCTCGGCTGGTCGGACGGGAGAGCTGCGTGGCAGGGGCAGTACAGGGAGCGGGCAGGGTGCCGGGACACTCTCTGCTTCCATCTCCAACCGTGATGTGTATTTTTGCAAGTATTTTCTTTGCAGTTTTCTGGTTATTTGATGAAATGCTATATTCTGTTGTTGCACCTGAACTATTCGAAGCTGGGCAAGGCCCAAGTGGGATTTTTGTTAAAGCTGTTTTCAGAAACAGTTCAGTCCAGGTTCTAGTTGAACAGAATGAGTAGAAGTTTGAAGACAGAGGCCTAAGAAGATTCTCCCTTTTGGTGCATGTCATCTCAATGCTTTTTTTGCTTGTTAAGAGCTGTATTTATTTTGTGTAGCACTCCACAACTTGCTACAAGTGGCAGTCAAGAGCAGATGGGTGGAGAGACTCTAAGGATAAAGTTAATGTGGGAGGAAAAAAAAGTGGTTTGCTTCAGTCCCTCACCTGAAGAGGATGTGGAGAAAATCAGGTAAGTGGTGTGGATCAGTCCCTGCAAAGCTCAGTTAGGCTTTTGCAAAAGGAATGTGTTATGTGGGTCAGTGTGGCCATTTGCTCTGTGCAGGCTCAAAGGATGTATATACACATAGTGCTCATCAGATAAGGCTCACTGACCTAGGGAACGTAGCTGGGCTTTAAACCAGGCCAAAGCACAGGCAGAACTGAAATGAGCAAAAGGCAGCCTTAGAAAAAGCAGCAGCAATAGCAATTCCATCAACTTCCTCTCTGAGGCAGTGCTTGTAGGACCTGGAGGTGATGGGAAAACCAGCCACATCTAGAAAGGCTGTTTCTGATCCCCGTCTGCTGGGAGAATTCCTTGATCCCCAATTCCCAGTGACAGCACAGGTCATGAATCCATCTTCATTTCTGAATGATCTTTGTTGTGGTTGCAGGTTTTCCAGTAAGTGTGTTGCTTCTTTTGTTACTTCTCATTTTAAGTGTTCAGTATGTTCCCTGTTCTCAGACTACAAAAGCTTTCACAACTCAGTCTGCTCACTTTTCAACAACACAGGTAGCTGAAAAGCAAAGAATCTCCAGGTTTTGTTCTACTCACATTTTACGTATTGAAACAAATGGTAGGTTTTTTATCAAATTCTGTCTGTTAAACTATGATCTCATTTAGAATCCTGGCATGCAAGAAAACCCTATGGTAAAAAGCAGAAGCAAAAAGATACTGTGAATTATTGTGATAAATTTTTGTGCAGTACCTTGTAAGTCTCTTGAGTATTTTTAGATACAAAGCTCTGGCCATGCTGAAGCTAATTAAAACTTCAGGGATAAAACCTTGTCTCTGATGAAGCCTACAGTATGTTACTTAAGAACAACTATAGTAAGTGGGGAAGGTCCTTACCTGACAGAGATGACAGAGAAACCCCACAAGAGAAGGAAAAGGTAACACAGCAACATTAAATACTCCCAGGAAAAGCGGGAAGAATTGCTCTGGCCCTGGGAACCCACTTTTTGGGATGACAGGCCACAGCACATACGCATGAAGTACTTTTATATCTGTGAAACTGCAGCGTTTCAACTAACTCCAGCAGACCCTCAGCACTCATGGTGCTCTTACAGCAATAAATCCCACTGCAGACTTACAGTAAACTGAC